CCGGTTGGATGTAGTGGCCATTTAAGTGTAACTGAGCCCCTGTTATATTGGCCATGCTGGGAGAAAGTGACAGCAGGTCACTTCCTCCCACAATCAGAGGGAACCACACAGGAGGCACAGGGATGGAAGGAGCAAGGAGAGAGCTAGTTCCGGGTTCACACTCCCATCAGAAAAAATGGGCTTTGGGTCACACACTCAGAAAATGCATTTCTAAATATACAAAATAAAGTTAAAGGAACAGCGCGCACACATACACAAAAATACAATTTAATTTTTACAAAGCTACTTAAAGTCACCTATCTTAGCAAACAAATATGGAGATTAGGTTACACCATACAGACAGACACCTATACAGACACACACACTGACCCATATAGACTGACATTGACCCATACAGACAGAAACACTGACCCATACAGACACTGACCCATACAGGCAGACACGCTTGAGTTTTTATATACAGTTTTTCCCCTCAAGGTTGACGCCCAGATGGACCTTTCGGGGGACAGGACACAAAATTAACAAACCGATAAAAACAGAGTCTCCCATACTGTGTACACAAACCCTCCACTCTGTTTAGGAGATAATTGAGTTAATTATTGTAACGAAAAATACAGTTTTTACCCATTTTCTGAAAACACCCCAAAACTATACTGGGCCTCTCATCCAGTGATGGTCATGCTGGACCTCTCATCCAGTGATAACTATGCTGGGCCTCTCATCCAGTGATGGTCATGCTGGACCTCTCATCCATTGATAACTATCCTGGGCCTCTCATCCAGTGATGGTTATGCTGGGCCTCTCATCCAGTGATGGTCATGCTGGGACTCTCATCCAGTGATAGCTATTCTGGACCTCTCATCCAGTGATAGCTATTCTGGACCTCTCATCCAGTGATAGCTATGCTGGAACTCTCATCCAGTGATAGTCATACTGGGTCTCTCATGATAACTAATCAAGCAACAGCATTTGAAGTAGCTCAACACAACAAATGCAATTTATAATTACTTCTCCAGTCTCAAAATTATTCAACCCCTTCATGGCAATCATATTTAGTAATTAGTAAAGCACTCTTTTGCTTTATGAGCAATGGCATCTAGTTCAGTATTATTCTTAGGTTTGCATGCTGCAACTGCCATTTTCAAATCCCACCAGAGATGTTCTATGATGTTCAAGACTATGATGTCTACTGTAGAATTTTTCAGGACTTCTTCTGCAACCAAGCCTTTGTGAATTTGAGGTATGCTTGAGATCATTGTCTTTTTAGAAGGTCCAATGATGCCCAAACTTTATCTTCCTCACAGATGACATGACATTTTCTGCTAGGATTTCCTGATACTTCAATGAATCCATCTTGCCTTCCACATGCTGCAGGTTTCTAGTGCCAGACGATGCAAAACAAACCCAGAGCATCACCAAGCTACCACCATGCTTAACTGTAGGCAGAGTGTTCTTTTCAGCATATGCTTCATTCTTTTTCGTCACGACATACCCCTGATTGGTTGGGTTGAAAATTCAGTTTTGTTTCATCGCTCCACAGAACAGAATCTCAAAACCTCTGTGGCTTATTTAAACGATTTTGAGCATATTAAAGCCAACTTTTGTTGTGCTTGGTGGTCAATATTTATGTACATCTTTGAGTTTTGGCATGGAAACCTTCTGTGTTTAGTACACGCCCTACTGTGCTCACTGAAAACTCAGTGTCCATTGCCACCAAGTCTTGCTGCAGGTCTTTTGCAGTAACTCAAGGGTTTTTCACGATCTGCCTTCTCATAAATCTGGTTGCAGCCATTAATAGTTTCCTTTATTCTGCCTCATCCAGGCAGTGTAACCAGTGTTCCTTCAACTTTGAACTTGCAAACTATGCTTCAACAGTTTCTCTAGAAACATTCAGTGCCTTCGCTATCTTTTTATATCCTGTTCCTTGTATGTAAAAGGGATGATCTCTTAACTTTGTGGACTGTTCTTTTGATTTAGCCATATTTCTAAAATGCAGTCAAACATGACACTCAGCAAACCCCTAGCCAGTTCAGGTATTTCAAGGATTCAAGCTCAAGCGCTGGTGCAACCAATGAAGCCCTTGATTAGTTGCATCAGGTGTTCTTGAGACAACACTTTTTTTGCATATTTGTGCTAGTGAGGGATTCTATTCAGGGGACTGAATAATTCTGTGACCAGAGAAGTCACTCTAAATTGCATTTTCAGTTGCATTATGGGAAATAACTTGAAGCATCCGTTGTGTTGAGCTATTTCAATGGCTTTTGTTTGATTTGTATATTGCAAACAGTTGAAAGTCTGCAAATGTTAACAATGAACCTGATTTTCAATGAGGGTTGAATAATTTTAAATACCACTGTATTTCTGCCTCTTGGTATATATAATACATTTTACACACATGGAATAGCTGTTCTTGCTATTATGGTCCTGTTATTTTCTTGTTGCAACCTTTTTGGCCAATACACTGAAAATACTCGAACAGGAAGGTCACAGTATGCTAGGGCAATGCAATGCACTCCAGAATGGATCACCTTTGACATTCTTATCCATTAACGTTTTAATTAGTAACTAGATCTCTTGGTTTCATATAGAGTAGCATGCCTCATGGTGTCTCCTTCTGGTCTTACTGATTTTATATGTTTGCACAGATGCCAATCATCGTCCAAAAAAAATGCTTTGGTTACAGAGAAACCATTTGGTACACAATCTCTATCTCTGTATCTATTTTAGTTGGGTCTAATCTCTAAGCAGAGGGAAGGAGTGATACATGTTAACATCTAATCAGTAAACTCACAGACCTTGATTCATTTTTTTGAACAGGTAGGATACGGTGAACACTAAACCATTAAACCACAGAGTCTTATTGTTAGTGCTTATAGCAGTGGGGATCATAGGAACATGGAAACATAGAATGTGATGGCAGGTAAGAACCATTCAGCCCATCTAGTCTACCCAATTTTCTAAATACTTTCATTAGTCCCTGGCCTTATCTTAAAGGTTCACAAGTTGATTTGATTTGCCAACTCCAAACTAGTTTGACAAAATAAAGGAGAGATAGGCTGCACCCATAACATCCTAGCCACAGTAATGAGCAGTTGTGGTTATGGTGTTTGAAGAACCCTTTAAGCGAAGCATTTGGGTTTAATAAAATGGGTGTTGCGTAGATAATCAAATTGTGCTTTGTAAACCGACTGCTTAAACATTTTCTCTGATTTCTTGGAGAGACAGTTTAATACAGGTACTAAATCGGGACTGCCCATCCAGAATCAGGGCACTTTGGAGGTGTGAATCTGGATCTCAAAAAATTCTTTTTACATTTCTGCTCTAGCTGAGTGCATTTAAAAAGTCTCCAGAACTTGGGATCTTCATTGAGTTATTCTTTACACACTCTGTTTTCTGTTTTTAGATGAAGTTTGCCAACTCAGCCACACAGAGAACATTTATCTCAAGAATGCAAGTCAGAGACATAGACATTTGTGAAAATTGGCACTTACATCAAACAGAAAATGATGCTGCACTGAGATGAAATATTAACCCTTTTATACCAGCAGGGTGAGGCATGCTTTGCACTAAATAGCATTGTAAACTCTGGCAAAAAGTAAGTTTGGGCTTAAATAACATGTATTTAGTTCCATCTTGATAATAGATGTTGTTTTTTTTTTTAAAGGACACGTTTACACAGGACTACATGCCAATGCACAACACAAAACAGATTATCACACTACATTTCCTTTCTCCCTGTAAGCTGGTTTGGGGATGGTTCTCAGAGAATACAGCTTGAGGTTCAGTTATAAAACCACAGCCACACCTCCCTCTGCTGCAAGTAAACCCACAGAAATAAAACAATCAAATGAAATGAAATGTTAAATCTCCTGAGTTCACACAGACATGATATAACCACTAAACAGCTCTTCAGATGTTACTGGACCCCAACTCGAATGATCCCCAGCCAGCCACATTTCAGGGAAGGAGTCATGGGAGTTATCATTTAGAAACATCAGAATTGTATCCCCTCTCCCCCATACCACCTCTGTTACATGTCTCTTTTTTTTTAAATTTAATTTGTTTACTTTTTAATGCTGTAACCAGTGAATGACCAGCACTGATCTGCATCACTAGAATATTCTGGTCCATAAATTCTGCATCAGATTGGAACAGACTGAGAGTCTTCTTTCAATACTGGTATAGGTTCTGTATGGACCAGAATTCTATCACCTTACTGGTCACCAAACTTGAAATTAGACTTGTAGATTACCAGGATCAGTTCATTGTTTCATGTTTATTGTACAGCGCTACGGAATCTGATGGCGCTATATAAATAATAAAATAATAATAATAGTTTATTTATGGGGAGTTTATTATTCATTTAGTGCATATTGTTATGTTTGTATTATTTAAACCTTACTGTTGCATATTTATTTATTTATTATATGAGTTATATTGTTTTAGGATTGTGTAAATGGACTGATGTTTTGGTGGAATTGGTCAAACGCCAAATTTAAATAAACATCTTGTTTGTTCATCCTGTGGTCCATCCAGGCTGAATCAGACAAAAATGGTGTTTTAAGGGAAAATTTAAAAAATATATATATTTTTTTTTTTTAGGACAGTCCCTTCTGTGTGCCTCAGAGCCAAAAGGAGAGATTGTATTAGGGATCTAAATCCAGGAGCAGAGGAGAGAGAGAGGCTGCAAAGAAAAGGAGGATTTGGAAGGAGGCTAGGGCATTGGCAATATTTTGTAATGGAGAAGAAGGGAGAGAGGGTAGTAAAAAAAAAATTGTATTTAAAAAAAAAAAAAAAAATTCTTCTTCCCCTTAACTTTCTCACTTGCTGACGTAATGTCTGATCCAGCCCTTTTACTTCACCCTCACACAAGCTGAGACACACAGAGGTTTTTTTCCAGCTGCCCTCTATCCCCTCCCCTTGATGGCTTCTCCTCCTCCTCCAGCTGCCTTTCCTCTCCCCACCATCTCCTGCAGACAGTCCTGTAGGGCAGTAATAGAATGCATTGCTGTAACAGGCATCTAGCGGTCTCCCAGCTCAGCCTCCTGGTACAATGGATCATCCTGGCCTTTACAAGTGACTGGCACCTTGGCAGTGCCAATGCAGGTACCATACCTTGTCTCCAGCCTCTGTGCTGCTCTCTTCCATAACTTTGTCCTGTTATCCTGCTCCCTGTAGATGTCTGTGTGTTTTAGGACTTTCAGAGTTCCCCAATCTCTGTCCGTGTGTTGCTTCAGCCCAAGGCTGTGTGTTCTAATCTCAGAGCTAGAATGATGACCAAGAAGGCATTGTATCAGAAAAAGAGAATACACATTGTATCTTTTGGCAGAATTAAAGTCACACTGATTGCTTTTAGTTTCTGATTGTTGTTGTCATGTAATTGTTTTGTGTGACCGTGAAAGGATTTGTCAGTGTGACTAAAGAGAGGAGATGATGGCCTAGCAGGCAAGAGAAAGATCAGTAAAAAAAAGAGTGAAAAAAAAGGGAAAAGAGAGCAGAATTTGAGTAAAAGCAGATGTGTATTGGACAGTAGTTGGGATGGGGGGAGGAGTGCATGCAACTTGGACTGGAGTTAAAAATTGTAGGTGGGATATTATAGAACCCATTTTAACTCTTTCCTGCCTCACACTATGAGTGATTTATTAGCATTCTGGGGCAACATTCTAAAAGCGGAATAGTTACCGTGGAAACCAATAGAATGTTCACGCTGATTGCAATACTTTTAGAATTTTGCCCCAGATGACTCCTTATACACAACTCCTGCACGTCTTGAGTGACAAAACACTTTTAAAATCAAGTACGTTTCATTCTCTACCCACCGGCACTGCTTACCTGTGCTGGGTCCCTTTTAAGTCCTTTTTCTCTCTATTTCGTCCTTTTTTATTATTGCGTTTCAATTGTATTGGAATATATTTAATAATAATAATAAATTAATCATTTAAGCTAAAATGTATATCATATCAGAATTTATATGGTTTTGTATAACTTTTGAGGTTTGTTCACTAAAATTTTGAATTTGTTGGAAATTAGAATCCAGTTGGCAAAATTGAGACAAAAATAGGGGATCTGGAAGAGTTCTTCAACTTGGCTGTAGTCACAGCTCGGCTCTGTAAGTCTAGATTGAGCCTTTTGTATTTAAAGAGTTTACGATTCGTAGTTTACTTAATAAACCCCTTTGTGTTGTACGTGATTTTAACATTGTATTATTTGTTTTATTAAAGATATTGAACTGGGAACATTTGAGTTATATTCATTAAAGTGGAAACGGAGGACAGTTAACAAGCGAATTGCACATTTGTAGGCCAAAGAAGTTTAAAGCAAGAATTCAGAGTGAATTTCAAATTAAGGTCAAATAGCCAAACTGGAAAACTTCTCTAAATCAGCTATGCTCTCATGTAGGCTACTCTGGCCTTAAATTTGAAATTCACTTTGAATTCTAACTTCAGTGAATAACCTTGTTTTTTTTGTTTTTTTTCAATTCAGCCATTGTCTCCCAACAAGCTTACTTGTCAGTTTTTCGCAATCCTCAGTTTAGTGAATAAATCTCTCAATGCACAGAGATCTGACTGTACGGCCACGCCATGAGTACGGCCTTTTAGTTTGTTTGATGAGGCAGGAATAATGAAATCCTCAGTTTGATGCAGCGTTGCTACACCAGCACACTAGCAGTTTGGGCCTGTTTTCAGTTGAATAACACGTTTAATGTCCCAGAAATGCTAAACATTCTATTTAATATCTTCTGGTAACTTATCAGAATTCTGGGTACCATCGTTCGTACTATCGGGACTTTGCACAAACCTGTAACACCCCACAAATCTACTTAAACATCTGGTGCTAACACAAGGTAAAACATATAGCCCATCTCTTTTTGCACATGCAGAGGGATGTAAAAGAAATTGGAAAAGTTCTGCCTGTCTTTGAAGGTTATCTAAGGAGCTCACAGTTATTTTAAGTTCCACCTTGGTATAATTATGTCTTCTGAACTTGCCCTTTGATGTACTATGCTCTGAATAGGGGTTAGCATAAGGAGGAGGGGGACATGAAAATCCCACTCTGGAGCTGTATATCAGGGGTGCCCAAAAGGTAGATCCCCAGATGTTTAAAAGCTACAGCTTCCATGATGCTTTGGCATTCTAAAGGCATGCAAAGCATCATGGGAGTTTTAATTCTACAACATCTGGGGATCTACGTTTTGGGCACCCCTGCTCTATATTTTATCCACTAATTCAGGAGTTGTGGAGAATTGACAAGGAAATCGCAGGCCAAAATAGCCGAGCTTGAAAGTAGCTCAGTTGGAGAATTTCCTCGAGGAGAGCTACAGCAGTTTTTCTTATCGCCACTGTTTCTGGTGTAACCGATAAACTCGAAAGTGTTTACAAATAGCTTGCCGGACTCCTGTGCCTATTCCGTACCTTCCAACATTTCAAATGGACAAAGAGGGACTCTTTCATTTTAGGGGTGTGGTTGGCGATGTGGCCAGAGAAGGGGTTGTTCTGATAAACGTTAGATGACTTACTAATAACAATTTATATAACTAAACTGTAATTTAGAACAAACACAATGTAACGTGTTGACACAGACTGATTTCTAAACACATTTCTTGTAGTCTAAATACACATTATTGGGAGTATTATTGTTGTGTGCTCTGTTATATTCTCAGACATACCAACAATACAGAACTTCTAGGAAAGACAGTCATTAGGAAATAAAAGAGGGATTTGGACCCAAAATAGGGACTGTCTCTGCTAAACAGGGACATTTGGGAGGTATGTTTTTAATTTAGGCATTTGTCACCGTTTCACACCTTCCTGTTTAGTTACAGGCTATAAATACCTTTAAAGGAACATCTGTTTTGAAGGGGGAGAGTATAATCATTAAGATACAAGGAGCATAAGGAAAGGAAAGGAAAGGAAAAAAATTTTAAAAAAATTACAGAGTCACTTTAATTATTAAATAATATGTAAATTGCTGGGAATTCAAACTGAATTTTTTTTTTAATGAACTAGAATTCATGCAATAGATTAGTTTGTTTTTGCATGATGCATAATCAGGTGTGTCCTTTCAAATGAGTTGCCTAGATTGTCCCTTTAAATGGTTTAGCCTATACCTGTATGCTTTAGGCGTAGGGGTATACACTGTAAGTATGGCTAATGCATCTTCCGATACACAGCTTGCCAACGCAGACTACAGGAGAGACCCGGGTAGGAAGGACAGGTAAGTATGCTTTTTAAAGGACCACTATAGTGCCAGGAAAACATACTCGTTTTCCTGGCACTATAGTGCCCTGAGCGTGCCCCCACCCTCAGGGACCCCCTCCCGCCCGGCTCTGGAAAGGGGAAAGGGGTTAAAACGTACCTTTTTCCAGCGCTGGGCGGAGAGCTCTCCTCCTCCGATCCTCCTCTTCTCCTCCCCGTCGGCTGAATGCGCACGCGCGGCAAGAGCATTCAGCCGGTCACATAGGAAAGCATTCATAATGCTTTCCTATGGGCGCTGGCGTGCTCTCACTGTGAAAATCAGGAGGATTATGGGAAATAGGGGAAGGCTTAACCCATTCATAAACATAGCAGTTTCTCTGAAACTATGTTTATGAAAAAATGGGTTAACCCTAGAAGGACCTGGCACCCAGACCACCTCATTAAGCTGAAGTGGTCTGGGTGCCTAGAGTGGTCCTTTAATCTGGGCATTTGATTATGTATCCTCCAGCAAAAAAATATAAATTCTGCTAAAATTGGCCCCGTTGATCAAACATCAGTGGATAATAGACCTTCAGTTGTCAATTAATGGTCAATGGGTCCCAAGCCACCGATCTGTTTATATTCCGAACTGAGCAAAGAACGTAGTATAGGACAATGTTATCAATGTTATCACTATAGTGGTCCTTTAGCACAAAGCTTCTCATTGATTGAAGAACAATGTTTTACTCGGATTTTAAAGTGGAAGTTCCTCTAGTGGCTGTCAGGGAAATAGACACTAGAGGCATGCTTAACCCTTGGATGCAGACATTGCTGTTTTTACAAAACAGGTTTATTGGGTTAAAACTACAGGTCTACTGCATCCAGACCACTTCATTGAGATGAAGTTGTTTTGGTAACTTTAATGGTCCTTTAAAGGTGGCGTCTGCCCTATGACCATGTACACAGTAAATAATTTACATTTACACGTTATCAGCCATCAAAACAATCTCTACCTGATTCTCTGACTAGAAGATACAATAATCTGTTTTGGTAGTATGTTATTAATATCCGCAGTTAAAGGGACAATCTCGGATGGATTGACGACCTTTATTTTTGCATTATTATTTAAAGTGAATATGTACTGCAAAAAATAATTTAGTTAAATCAGTCCCAAATACATTTAATACATTATATATAATAGAGATAATTTACTTTCTTCCGGGAACGTCCTCTTTTTTTGGGGGGGAAATTGCTTTGAAAACTCTCAGTCAATGCTGGTCATACCATGAATTTCTAAAAGAAACAGTGGCGTACTTTATAGTGCAACAGTTGGTTGGTTATTAATTCATTCATTTTTTTTGATTCGATGGCAAGCCTCAGGTGACTGCAATGAGAGAACTGCATTGGGGTGTTTAGATCTCACAGAGCCATAAGTTATGTGTTTTAATAGGTTCTACACATAAGACAGGAAAAGTACAAAATTGTAATTCACATTATAGGAAATCTCTGAGAAATTTTTTAACTATTTTTGAAAACGTTATTTTAGTTGTGAATGCCGTTTTGATCTAGAGCAAATTTGTTTTTGTTTTTTTTATAACATTATAGTGTTAGGAATGAAAACATGTATTCCTACCGCTATAGTTTTAACTACCTGTTTCAGTGTCGTCATCCCCCGCCACGTGAGGGTTTGAAAGTTGAAATGTACTTACATTTTAGTCCTTACTGTTTCGTTCTCCATGATGCCAATCTGTCTCATTGGCTGAGATTATCTGTGTTGATGATCTCAGCCAAGCAATGCTGCCCAAGGGAAACACTGAGAGACTAGTGCGCATGCGCGGCAAAACACAGCGATGTGCCAGTCATAATGGTTTCTATGAGACTATCTGGCTGAACAGAAGCCCACTAGAGGCAGGGTAACCCTAAATTGCAATGTTTTTAACTGCTGGGTTAAACAGACAGGGAGATGGCACTGAGACCACTTAATTGAGATGAAGTGGTCTGGGTGTCTAAAGAGTCCCTTTAATATTACAGAACTTTGTAATGGAACATGCACTGTGATGTGAAAGGAAAACGTACCATAGCATAGGATGAGGATGAATTCTATTACAGACTATAGCATAGAATTCATTATTTTGATTCCCTTTTTTTTTTGTTTTATAACTTTTAAAAAGTATAATAACAGAAATAGGGCATAGGAAAAATGGGTTCCAATATCCAGTAAAAATGTCAACATAATAAATAAATACCAAGAGATACAGGAGGGAAGGGAAAAGAAAGACGAAAGAGGAAAGTACAAAAAAGAGCAGGGAAAGAGATGAGAAGAAGAGAATCTCTTTCGAATTGTTTTTTCTTTCTTTCTTTAGTTAATTTTGTTACTTTTTTTTAACCCTTGTAAAAACTCAAGCTATATTGCTCTTCTCAAACCTACAGAATTCACGAGAACAATAACGGATGTGTTCCATCCAACATTTTAGAATGATATCGTCATATCTAGTGTCTATGCCAGGGGTAGCCAACCTTCGGCACTCCAGATGTTGTGAATAATGCTCTGACAGCCATAACCCTGGCAAAGCATCATGGGACATGTAGTCTACAACATCTGGAGTGACAAAGGTTGTCTACCACCGCTTAAGGCATTGCATCGAGGGAGTGACCATTCCAGGGCCTTTGGTTTTGTGGTCAGATTAATTATGATGTAATCTGTCAAAGCAGATGTCAATAAGCAAATTCTAAATATTTACAGAACATGACGTAAATGCTTTTTAGTTTATGCGATGAATCTAACTATCTTAAACGTGTTGGCTGTGGGACACATGGACTGGTTCCGTCTCTGAAATAAAATATTGCAATTTAATACGTGAGATGTTTAATGTCAGAGGCTTGTTCACTGAACACAAATATATATATATATAAATATACACAAATTCAGACAGGAGCACTCACTTGGATTTTCCAATAGTGTATTAAAAAGTATTCATCAATCTACATCAACGTTTTGACCCTTCAGGGTCTTTATCAAGATCTTGTCTGAATTTGTGTACCTATTGGCCTGGAGGCACCCGGGTAATATATTTTTTATTTTTTATTTTGGAGTTGAGTGCCAGAGTTTGGACTTTTGTGTATATATATATATATATATATATATATATAAATAAATATATTTCCTGTATAATCACAACCAACCAATATAAACACTTACGCACTTTACATATTATAGCACATGCCTGCGTTTTGTTATAGCCCGAGACACCCATGATGTGGATTGACAGCGGTGTCCTCTAACGCAGTGTTTTTCAACCTTTTACAGAGAAGTTCCCCTGCAAATCTAAAAAAAATGCCTAAGTACCTACTGGTAGGCCCTGAGGTGGCAAGCCGGCCAGTTCTTGGCTGTGGTGCACTTTGAGAAACTAGGCTTTAATGCTGCCATGGGTCAGACTTTAAGAGCTGTATCGGTGAGATGTGATTTGTCACTTAGTTTAGTGGTTCCCAATCCTTTAGGCACCCCAACAGTCCACGATTTTAGGCATTTGTCAGTTCTGTTCCTATGGGAATACAGAGACACCTGGACAATTGATGTGCCTTGATTAATTCCACTGCTGTAGGAAATTTAATGTGCAATATCCATGTTCACCAGGAGTCCCTTAAATCTGCTGCCCCATAAAATAGACCCACAGCTGTAAGTAAAACTTTGGACCAAGCTGGTAAAAGCTATTACTGATTGCTGTAAGCTTAAGAATAGCTCCATTTCTGTTTGTTTCATCAATGGAGCTGTAGAAAAAGCTGCACATGCACTTAGCTTCATCACCAACTCTTTCACAGAATCTGTTAATGGAGTCTTTCAGCGATATATCTGAGTGAGGGAATGGGTTTTGCAAAACACTCCAGTTATCAGACAAAGTGTTCCCGCAGTCCCTTTAAAGCAAACACTACTTCAAATTCTCACCGTGTTGACAAGATTATAGAGTCCCTGTTAAATACTAAACTTTGATGTGATGACATTCACATGAGGCTCGTGTCACCCTGGTCTATCAAGTTAAACATTTCGTGCATTTTGTGTCTTTTGTTGATTATCCAAAATAAGGGAAAAAACTCACGTTAAAGTGATTTCCACAGAATTTGAAATAAAAACCTTCCTCTTGGATCAGCAATTAGAACCTGGTGAACCAAAGTATTTAGGCAGAGAATTTTACAATTAATTTTACACCGTTCCTGTGGAACTCGCTTCCCTCCTCCATTAGATGCTCACCCAGTCTTCACTCCTTCAAAAAATTGTTAAAAACCCACATCTTCATAAAAGCGTATCAATTAGACTGTTTATAGCTCCTGGCTGATTACTCTTCTGCAACTGTCACTAGTCTAATACTATCCTTACCTTTTTGTGTCATTTTACCCCACTACCTCTAGCATGTAAGCTCATTGAGCAGGGCCCTCAACCCCTCTGTTCCTGTGTGTCCAACTTGTCTGGTTACAACTACATGTCTGTTCGTCCACCCATTGTAAAGCGCTGCGGAATTTGACGGCGCTCTATAAATATCATAATAATAATAATAATTGTTCTAACTGCTCTGCTTTAGACAGATACTGCTTTCTTAACGTTTACATTTATGACTTCTTATCCTCTGTACAATCCTGTTTACAAACAGGTTACCATTGAACTGTTTATACTTTTTTTATCCATCACTTCAATTCTGTAAAACCCAACACTCTGTGCCCTTCTATATTTTAATCTTCTTCATCGATTATTCCACTGGTTTTACAGTTACTGTTAATAATAATGTCACCTCATTGACCTCTGAGTGCCACTGGTAGTACCAGGGCTATGGGTGTGTGCCATCACTGATATTATTGGTTCAGGAACTTACATCATCACTCTGTGGCGGCACATTTCCTATTGATAAGGCAACTTACCTTTTCCGTGTTGTTTAATTTCCATATTGTAGAGAGAGGGCCCAAATAAGTAGTAATTCCTTTAACGTCTTTCAGTTGTAACACCACAGCAAAATAACGTGTGCATTATATATAAAACTAAAAAATCCCTGACATTGAAACAATGGGTAGGTTACATCACCATTTACTCATCAATCAGGATGCATTGCATGCTTGTCCTTTAAGAAAGGCATTGGATATGCCGAAACATTGGGGGTGGAATTTGTGACTCAGTGTTTCGCCATCTGGTAGGCTTTGACTTAAAGGGACATTCGGTATGCACAAAATGAAGATTTCAATAAAAATTGTCACTTGTATAATTTAACCTAGTTACCCCCCTCCCCTCCAACCCTCTCCCCCCCCCTTCGCGGCTGTCAATCAGAGAACAGGTCCTGTTGCTTCCTGGTTTGTTTTGCTCAGTGGAGTTAGACTCAAGAGGCGGCAATTGCTTAGAGCACCTGCCTTGCAGAGACTTCTCATTGGCTGCATTTGGAAGTCTGTGCAAACTGTTAGATATATACCACCAATGAAAAATGCAGAATTAAATGCATGCATGTATTCATTGGGGTAATATATACCAAACACTGATTTTTGTATTTTTTTTGTATTTTTTATTTGGGCGGTGGAGTGTCACTTTTATTATTTGCTTTGTTTAAGTGAATTATGTAAGCCTTGTTCATGTCTTGCCATTGTGTGGATTTCTAAACTGTATTTTTGTAATTAAGGCGATCATCGTATTGATATTTTTGATTGGTGTGCATCCTTATGGCATGTTCATTGATAGACTTTAACACATTAGGGAGTGCACCATAGGATATGTACCCCATAAGGTCCACTTTATTAATGTGCCCTGCTGCAGTATTTAGTTTTTTTATGCAATTATTTTCCTAACCATTTTTAATTCTTGAAAAAAAATAATAATATACACCCAAATTATTTATAATAATGTTATTCGTAGTTTATTTTTATTATTTTATATATATATATATGTATATATATATATATATATAATTCGGGTATCTTTTTTTGCAATGATTTTTAGCCAGATAAACCCATGTGAATTAGTCTAATGCAGGCTTTATCCAAACTCCGGCCCTCCAGATGTTGCTGAATTACAACTCCCATGATTCTCAGCCTATTCATTTCATTCATAGAATCATGGGAGTTGTAGTTCAGCAACATCTGGAGGGCTGGCGTTTGGGAAAGCCTGGTCTAATGCTTCTTGTTTTCGATATTCAGGTTTGTGTAATGGATTTAATAGCCTGTCCTTCACTTAAGAGTCCTGTGTGTTAAACATCTATAAGAACACAGGGCTCTTGACCCCTCTTTCTCTCCGCCCACCCTCCCGCTAAACACAGCCAAGGTTTTTAAAAGTTCCCTAGTGGGTCAGCACTGCGGTCACTCCCGAAATAATAGACCCTGTGTTCTACATTTCACCAAGAGATGGGGTGTAACTTTGTCCCAGGGACAGCGTTAAATCCCACAACCTTCAATGCTGATGTTTATAAGGCAAGCTGAAAATGTAATTTCTTAAAAGAACACTGTCATCAATTATTTTAATATCTTATATATAATCTTTATGTTATAATACGCCATCGTATTTATTTATTTTTAAAATTTGCTTATAGTGACATTTTTGAAGAATTAATTCCCCCTTTCCGTTTGCTATCCTTATGCATCTTTGGTTGGATTGCTGACCCAATGATCACTATTTTGCAACCGTTTTATAGAATCACCTAACAGAAAATGCTACAAACAGAAAGAAACAGTTCACGATTATGAAAAGCATTGAATGGCATTTCCTTATTTTCCCTGGGATCTGTCAGGCCTGTAAAAGCATAGATTCGCAGCTTCGTTTAAGACTATACAGGCTTTACCCATTCTACTTCAAATGTTTGTGACGAATAAATACACTTGACTTTAATGGGTTGGTGGGAGACGTTTTAATGAGCGTGTGAGGAAGTCCTTGACATCAGCCATAACAACTGGTGAAAGTTCTTAAAACGTAATATAAACAGATTCCTCTATTTTTTACATTTTGAAATTGTTATTTTTTTATAAAACTGTAATACTCTTACTCTGTCAAATGCCTTTTAACAATTAATTTTTTTTAGGTGACCATCTCATATAGCGTAAATGTTACTCAGTAGAACTGACCACATCTCCAATGTCTCTGGAGGATGATTTATCTTCTTAAAGGACCACTATAGTGTCAGGAAAACATACTAGTTTTCCTGGCTCTATAGGGTCTCTAGGTCCCCCCCACCGGGCTCTAGGGGGTGGAAGGGGTTAAATTTACCTCTTTTTCCAGCACCGGGCGGGGAACTCTCCTCCTCCATATCGCCGTCATCAGCGTCATTCTCAATGCTTTCCTATGGACGCTGGCGTCTTCTCACTGTGAAAATCACAGTGAGATGCACGGAAGTGCCTCTAGCAGCTGTCAATGAGACAGCCACTAGAGGCTGGATTAACCCTATTATAAACATAGCAGTTTCTCTGAAACTGCTATGTTTATAGAAGAAAGGGTTAACCCTGGAGGGACCTGGCACCCAGACCACTTCATTAAGCTGAAGTGGTCTGGGTGCCTATAGTGGTCCTTTAACCATGGAATCAATCTGTGTAGCTCATTTCTAATCTTGAGCATCACACCATTCACCTCACCTCGAATCCACAGCTTTATCCTGATACAGCCCACTACTAATTAACAGCTTCAGTCCTTACAGCTCATTTCTGAACCACAGCAATAAGCTATATAACCCAGTTTTAAAAGAACTATAGTCACCTAAACAACTTTAGCTTAATGAAGCATTTTTAGTGTATAGATCATGCTTCTTATGTTTTATTGCTCAATTCACTGCCATTTAAGCGTTAAATCACTTTGTTTCTGTTTATGCAGCCCTTGTCACACCTCCCCTGACTCTGATTGGCACAACCTGCATGGAAAACCAAAACTGGTTTAGCTTTCAATCAGATGTAATTTACCTTAAACAATTGTATCTCTTTCTCTCTAAATTGAACTTTAATCACATACAGGAGGCTCTTGCAGGGCCTAGCAAGCTATTAACATAGCAGGGGATAAGAAAATGTAAATTAAACAGAACTTGCAATAAAGGAAGGATAAACTTTAGATGACTCTTTACAGGAAGTGTTTAGGAAGGCTGTGCAAGTCACATGCAGGGAGGTGTGACTAGGGTTCATAAACAAAGTGATTTAACTCCTAAATGGCAGAGAATTGAGCAGTGAGGCTGCAGTGGCATGGTCTATACACCAAAACTGCTTCATTAAGCTAAAGCTGTTTTGGTGACTAAAGTGTCCCTTTATTTTAGAGCATCAATCCCTACAGCCCTCCTTTAATGCACAGTACAGTACTCTGTATAGGCCAATCTTTAATCTGCAGAATTCTGTCTCTATATATTATAGTAGCATTGAAAATTTTAAATACTCAAATGGAACAATTACAATCTCATAGACATACCACCAATGAAACATGAATAATGCATTATGTATATTTTATTGTTGTATATCTAAAAGCAGTAAATCTCTTTGCAAGCCCATCCCTTCTAAACCCGCCCAGACTTCCTGTGGCTGTCCAATCACAGACTTCCCAACGCAGCTCAATGAGAAGTCTTTGAAAGGCAGGTGCTCTGCGCAATACCCTGCCTTGAGTTTAGCTCCATGGAGCTAAACTCAAGGCACGCCCTGTATGGGAACATTTGCAGCAGAAATGGCTGAACACATTTCACTTTGAGGGAACGATACGATCAACCTTGGTAAAAAGCTGAGATAAGTAGTTCACGATGATGGGTATAGGTGCAGTAAAGGGATCGGAATCCCTCTCTAGACACCAATGACTCCAAGAGGACCATGCTGAGATGTAGCATTTCTTGGTGCCAGGGGCCCAAGAGTCCCATAAAAGGTCCTTAGCCGCTTGCGATAGGCCCAGGACCAACCAGCATCTCCGGAAATCACCCAGGCCACTAGAACGAGCTTCTGTTCCAAGATGAGGGATAAAGTTCTCCCCTCGGTCCCCTCAGAAGTAGAGGGAAGGATGGGAGAAGAAGTGGGTGATCTCAGGACATCTCCAAAGAGTTCGGGAACCATGCTTGACTCTGCCAGAGAGGTGCTATGAGGAGGAGTGAAGCTTTGTGGATTTGTGTGTGGCGAAGTACTCTCGCCACCATGGAGAATGGAGGGAATGCATACGCTCCGTGTGTTGGCCATGGTTGAAGAAACGCTTCCACTGCCGTGCAGTTTGAATCCGTTAGCCAGCTGTAGTAGTTCGGTAGCTAGTGAATGGTCCGGGAGGCAAACAGTATAGGTGAAGTGGGTACCTGAGGTGTTTCAACTCCCGAAATACAGATGTGTTGAGATTCGTGTCGACTCTCTCTCGCCAGTAGTGGGAGAACCAGTCTGCCGTCAGGTTGGTAATCCCCGGTAGATATTCCGCTTTCAACGTGATGTTGCGCAAGAGGCAGAATCTGTAGATGTCTTGGGTGGCCTCTGTGAGGGCTTGGGATCTGGCTCCGCCTAGGCAAATTAGATATTGCACCGCAGAGACATTGTTCATGTGGAGTAGGATGCAGCAGTCTGCCATGTCTTTGGCCAGCCTGCGAATTGCGAAGGACCCAGCGACCAATTCTAGGCAGTTGATGTGGAGGATAGCCTCCTTGTCCCGCCAAGGTGCCCCCATAGAGGAATCTGTGCAGTGAGCCCACAAGCCCCAGAGGCTGGCATCCAATTCCATAATGAAATACGGAGAGGAGCCAAAGATTGCTTTGCCATTCCAAGCTTTCATGTGTAGGAGCCACCAGTGGAGTTCTGTCCACACGTCTGCTGAAAGTGGTATCCAGTGGTCGTAGGACTGTGCGGAACGTAGGCCATACACATTTTGAGGTGTTGCCTCGCCCTGTAGTGTAGTGGTTCCAGAAATATCACCTGAAGGGTGTCCTTTAGGTGACCTTCTTCCTTCAATACTGTTTCTCTGACATACTGACATACAAGACATCTGAGGCAAATCCTCTGATCCTCCAGGTGTAGGAAATGGGGTTCACCGCAGGTGTATACCTGAGCTGTACCTCATGATACGATCAGTATGCAGTGCACGTAACAAGCACTGATAATCCTGCACCATATGGGGACTTATCCCAGTAGGATCTGCATCAGCAGGACCCGTATGTTTTTAGCTGGAGGCTCACCCCAGGTGGTATGCCTTGATAACCCAGAGGACACCCACGTCAGTAGATAATATACTTGGCACAATATGGGAATGATATGATTAACTGGGGGCTCACCTCAGGTAGTGTGCAATGAAAATCCAGAGGACACCCACATCAGTAATTGTACACTTGGTACAGTATATAGGATATCCCTGTTAAAGGGTAGTAGTGATTGCTTCAGACAGGATATAATACACTCCAGAAATTCCCCATACATCTTATGTCCAATACTGTTTTGATAGTCTTGTATCAATTGAAGAAATGACAGGCAGTATGAACAATCCAGCAATGTGAAGGACGTACCTTTGGTTGATATACAGTACTTGAGAGAGGACAGGTAGCGGTAATCCTAGTCCTGAGGTCTCCTAAAGTCCGGATTGAGTGAATCCTGATCTAAGGCAATCAGTAGGAGAAGTGGCAGAGGAACACTTCCACGAGGTGCCAGACTATGGTACAACTGGGGCTCGCCCAGAACATTTGTAGCGGGCAATGTGTCATAAGTGTAGTATGTGCCAGTGAAAGAGGGCTCACCCTCTAGTGGTTCCCTTGAGTGAAATGGGAGACATAATAGTCTCATAAAATTGGGTTTCATCCAAAAAGACCCCTCCGTGGGGTTTGGTACCTGAGAGGGGCTCACCCTCTAAATGGACGCTCTGAGGCGTGTAATTATATTGGGGCTCACCCCGTTGTACATGAGAGCCGTATCTCCTTGGTCAGCAAGAGTATTCAGTCCAATCACATAGGTAGTAACATTGCAAGTAAGGTACCATATCTTTGCAAAGTCTGCTGCGGCAGAGCTATACGTAATAATCTAGGGGCTTACCCCTTGTGGCATGCCATGAAAAATCCAGAGGACACCCACATAGTAGTAATATACACTTGGCACAGTACAGAAAAATCCCTGTGGATGAGCAGGTCTGTAATAAGTTATTGGTATTATCTTTTAGACAGTCATATGTAGAAAATCCATATATATGCTACACTCATGTAAATTGAATTCCAAGTATAAACATGTATAATCCTTTAAAAAGGAGTTTAATAGTCGCTCACTACAATATTAAACAGGAGATTTAAGGCAGGCAGCAGTAAACAACGAAAGGATTATTTAAGGCAGGCAGCAGTAAACAACACAAGGATTATCAGGCAGCAGTAAACACAACGGTGTGACGCGCGCGTTCCACAATGGTTAAAAAATACCAGAAACCCGCATCACCAGGCAGTAATCTTCACATAGCAACACCCTATATAACCAGAATACTGTGAGGACCTGACCACACTTCTGAAGAAGCCCTTTGAGTGGCTAAACGCATTAAGTGGGAATTCTTTTGTATATTTATATACTGTTTTTATTACTTTTGTTCAGCAAATTAAAGTTCATTTGAAATACTGAAATTTGCATCAACCTACTGCTTCCTGGTACCAACACATCTGAGGTGGGGATTATACCACCTATGCTGGTTATACTAGAGCAAGTTCTGCTCTAATAAATGTGAGTACATTACCTTACTTATTTATTTTATTTCTCTACTTCTACTTACTTCACTACTGGAGTTTCTTTCTACATTTGCCTTCACATATGCCTTGCACATTGCATCTTACCTGAAGAACTTGTAGTAACCATACCAACACATATCCTCAGACGGGGATTGTTCCGTCCATGTGAAATAACAGCAGAGCTCTGAATTAGCTCATGGGAATGTGAGTGGTAGCGACTTTTTATTATCCACCACTTATTTGGCACAGTTATTGTATTACGCTATTATCTTTTTCTCTGTTTATTTTTGAGGTCCACTGTACTTCATATTTGGACATCCATGTACGTATAATCATTTATATCTCCAATTTGGGGTGCGGTTTATTTTGTTTCTTTCCTGTATTGCATGTATAATCCTTTGTACAAGCAGATTCAAATAGTCTTAGTAAGCAGTACTTTCCACAATATGTATATTTGGTTGTGAAATCTTTATCCTCATAATCCAGACCGAGTGAATCTCAATTTGGAATGACAGGTATAAGATGGCCGCTGGGAATCTCGTGATACTCACGAGATCCAAAATGGCCGCCGCTCATGCACAAAGATCCGCCGGCCTTGCGGTCGCGGGTCCCTCAAAAAATGCAAGTAATGAGAACTAGTCTCCCCTGACCCAAACCAGCATCCAAAGGCAGTGTCCCTAGAAGTAAAACAGAGCGCGATTGCGGCAATGAATAACTGTAAAAAATAGGAGTAAAACAGACCTGAGGGAAGAAGCCAGAGGGTAGAGGACGGAAAGAAAATTAATAAAGCACAAAACCTGTAGATGGACAGATGTGGGGAGACAGATAGGCAGTGAATCAATCTAAATAAATCTAAGTTACCAAAATAAGTCTAAAATTAAACAGTGAAATCAATAAAGTATAGGGAGAACAAATTACTCTGACCTGTGCACCTGGCTGGAGCAGCAAAAAAAGAGGAAGGGGGTGGTCTTAGTTAGAGTTATGCAAATATGAAGCCTTCTGTCATGTGGTAAAATTGAGCAGTGAGACTGCAAGGGTATAATCTAAACACCAAAACTACTTCATTATGCTAAAGTTGTTTTGGTGACTATAATGTCCCTTTAAATCCAGAGCCACTTATGCCACACAATTGATAGCGTAATTTACATTATATTACACTAATATGCAAGATCACATTTCTCAGTTGGAAAATAACCTCCCAGCACACTCCGTTCCTAATTCCCAGCCTATTTTAGTAGAAAAATAAATCCTCCCTTGGTTTTGCGCATTAGCCATTCACTGCACTCATGGGGCATAAATAGACTTTATTTTTGTTCTGTTGACAGCAGGGGTGAAGGAGGCTGACTGGGCTGCCTGAGACCAAGTACCCCCGGGAGAGCTGACCTTCACAGTATATGTGACCCCCGGCTGCTGCTGATCACCCCCTTGTGGGGTATTACTGATGTCTGTTTTAAGATTATATGAAAGAGCTCTGCACTGCTCCTAGTGTCTGGAATGTACAATTCCATCACTGTTTACGGCCCAGTCATCCTAAAATCCAGTCTCTATAACAAATAAATATTGCTGGGAAGGATCAGTGGTATACTGTAGTAGCAGATATATATATATTTTTATGGTTGCATTTGTTACACATTTTTATAGTTACATTTGACATGTTTAGTAAACCAAAGGATTATGACATTGCCCTCCGATGGTATCACACTAATAGAATTCAACATTTGCTGGGCCATCTTCGAAGCTAAAGGGCTTCCCAAAACACCAATTAGTTTATTTACTAAACTCTGAAATGAAATTAATTTAAATTTAAACAGCAACATTGAAGCTAACCTAGCCAAACTCTGAGATAGCTGATTTTACTTTTTTTATCTTTTCAATTATTTTAGCCTAGCGTTTGCCATTTTAATTTGAATTCACAGCAGTGAAGAGTTAGTGAAAAAAAAATTAAAGGGTTTATGCAGATGTAAATTTGTTAAAGTTTGTTAAAGAGTTCGAAAGAAATCTCTTACATGTTTGAATTACGTGATTTCTCAGCTTTCCTTTTTGTGCCCTAATTTTGCAGATCTGCTGTTAAATCTCTATTTTGATGGAACAATCCCTCAGTGTCGAGGAAATGTTAACCTGATTGCAAACTCTGTAGAATCATGTCTATGTATAAACTGTGAAACAGTATATTTTTTAAATCTTGTGCAAATAGAAAGCGGTATCACCCACAGATGGCATCGGGTGGCAACTATGGGCAATGCAAGTAGTGGATCATACCTGTCCATATTAATGTGACTAAACTTTCTGAGTTAAAAAAGTTATATTAAATATATGTTAAGGTGGGGGAATGAGTTAGGTAAGGGGTAGGACACCTTTGGCCCTCCAGATGTTGTAGACTACATCTCCCTTGAAGCTTTGGTATTAGAGAATTGCCTATAAGAGCATAATGGTAGATATAGCCTACATCTGTATCAGCTGACGATTGCCTACAGCTGACACCATTTCCAAACTAGATTTATTCCCGTTAATAATTTATTTTTATTTTTTTGTTAATAATTAAAGAAAGCAGTATTGGACAGTTTCCCAAATTGTGATTTTCTTTAGCGGCCCGCAAGATTTGCCGATATCTATAACCAAATCGCCAGTGCAAATGTTGGCACAAGGCAATTCTACAGTGTTCCCTGACAATCTGTGAATGGCCCACAAGCCATTATCAAGGCAGCCTCTGGAACTAATGAAAGGATAAACTTGTGCTCCCCTCCGTTCCGTTCCAAACACATACAGACAAGGGATTAATGCCTCGTTTCCACTGAGCGGTATGGTTCGGGTTGGTACAGTTCGGAAGGGTTAGAATGGTCCAGCCTATTTAGGTGAGCGTTTCCTCTGCATGTCGGACCGCCAGGAGGCATGCGAGGTTTAGACCAAATGCCTAGCGTGCCATTTGTCGTGAGCATTGACATATTCCTGTCCGCCAATCAATGGATTGTATAGTGTGACGCCAGTAGCTCTGTCCTAACTGTACTTACATTTCCTATGGACCTACATCTGAAGGGTGCCCAGGAATGGTGCGGTTTGGTTTGGTTGTATAGGCAACTTTCATAATGAAAATACTCAAAATAGCGTACCAGACCGTACTGACGCGAACCGGACTGTTCAGTGGAAACGGGGCATAAGTGTCCATTGTCTGTTTTTATAAGACATTATATTTACTGTAAAAAAAATTATAATTAATGAACACTAAACTGTACAAAAATGTATTTCAAATGTTGGGTATTTTTACCTTGAGATTCAATAATTTGGTATCGGCCTTGTCTTTCCAAACATGAGACACTTTTAGACATTTTCCTCTTGCCAAAACGATGATTATACATTTTCTGTAGTAATCCAATATTCTAATGTAAATTAACCCAACAGGTAGTTTTTTTCAAAGTGGAATTGTCAATTGCCAAAGCTACAAATTCAGCGTTGACATAATCCTGACATTTGAAAAACATTCCTTCCAACATTCTAAATTAAATTTTAGGGGGTGTGAGTGGAGTGTGTGACCAGGGGTGGGCTGTTCTGAGAAATTTTAGGTGACCTACTAATAACAATTTATAAACTAAAATGTAATTTAGAAGAACAATGTATGTTTTTTACACAGACTGAGTTCTAAACACATTTATTGTAGTTTAAAGACACATCACTGGGAGTATTATTGCTGTGGAGCTCTGTTATACACTCAGACACATTACTGGGAGTATTATTGCTGTGGAGCTCTGTTATACACTCAGACACATTACTGGGAGTATTATTGCTGTGGAGCTCTGTTATACACTCAGACACATTACTGGGAGTATTATTACTGTGGAGCTCTGTTATACACTCAGACACATTACTGGGAGTATTATTGCTGTGGAGCTCTGTTATACACTCAGACACATTACTGGGAGTATTATTGCTGTGGAGCTCTGTTATACACTCAGACACATTACTGGGAGTATTATTGCAGTGGAGCTCTGTGATGCACTCAGACACATCACTGGGAGTATTATTGCTGTGGAGCGCTGTTATACACTCAGACACATTACTGGGAGTATTATTGCTGTGGAGCTCTGTTATACACTCAGACACATTACTGGGAGTATTATTGCTGTGGAGCTCTGTTATACACTCAGACACATTACTGGGAGTATTATTGCTGTGGAGCTCTGTTATACACTCAGACACATTACTGGGAGTATTATTGCTGTGGAGCTCTGTTATACACTCAGACACATTACTGGGAGTATTATTGCTGTGGAGCTCTGTTATACACTCAGACACATTACTGGGAGTATTATTGCTGTGGAGCTCTGTTATACACTCAGACACATTACTGGGAGTATTATTGCTGTGGAGCTCTGTGATACACTCAGACACATTACTGGGAGTATTATTGCTGTGAAGCTCTGTTATACACTCAGACACATTACTGGGAGTATTATTGCTGTGGGGCTCTGTTATACACTCAGACACACCAACAATATGGAGCTCCTAGAAAGGGGACATTAGTGCAGAAAAGGGGGACAGATGGATTTGGGTCCAAAATAGGGACTTTTCTCCTATATAGGAACACTTGGAGTAATGGAAAGATATGTTTATTTGAGGTCTGAAAAATAAAATATAGAAACCACTGTGTAAAATCCAGTCTCTATAACAAATAAATATTGCTGGGAAGGATCAGTGGTATACTGTAGTAGCAGATATATATATTTTTATGGTTGCATTTGTTACACATTTTTATAGTTACATTTGACATGTTTAGTAAACCGAAGGATTATGACATTGCCCTCCGATGTTGTCACACTAATAGAAGTAAGAGCCCTTTTGTTGTTTTGTTTATTTTTTTAGATACCCCTAAACAGTAATATAAAGATTATAATTTTGCCCATGTTTACGTGCTAGCCTAACATCCGTTTTTTTAAAAATAAGTGTTACATTCATTATTTTAATTTTTTTTAAAGGAAATAGAAACTTGGTACGGAAGTTGTACAATTTAGTTTGCTAAAATAAATAAACTGAGTACGGTTGCAATATGTTAGAGATTGACTTTGTCAAGTTTTTTTTTTCTATTTTCTATATATATATATATATTTTTTTTAATTTTTTTTTTTACCATTGACGATTTATGAACAAAGTAAATTCATAGCAGCTGTATTTTTCCAGTCCCTATTCCAATTTGTACTTGTGGCAGTACCTTTTTCTCATTTTTATTTTAGTGCCCTACACCGAACTCATAGATAAAGATGTCATTGTGTAGCAAACACACATCAGAATGCGAGTGGGGCAGTAAAATGGTTTATCTCCGAAATCTTGCTAAATTACAGTGTTGCAGGAATTTAGTTATTTCTTGTTTTACGCCAGAAATGATTTCAGCGTAAATATTGTCTTGATTCTCTGTGTATGTGTCTGTCTGAAAAAGAATCAGAGCAGCATTCTTTATATCACACTACATGAATCTTGTGCATTTGCCGTGATCTGTGTTTCAATTCTCGCAGAGTAGCATTTTTTGGCAAAGAATGGGCTTACTTTCCACATTTCAGTCAGTTTGGTAAAAGGCCACATGGAATAAACTCAGGAAAAATACACTAAGCTCAATTCTTGACATTACAATACGTGACCTTATAGTCAATTTAATATATGGCTAAATCGTAATATTTTTTTAATGGATTTGGAAGCTTAGAAATCATTTTCCAATAGTAAAAGAATTTAAAATTATTTAATATAGAAATAGGTTAAAAAGTTACCTCTTCTTGTACATCATAGAGTTCTTTGTATTTCTATGAAAATTGCGATATAAGCCTGGCTTTATGCCTTTTGTACCTAACTAGGTGCCCAGGCCTGGTTTTTCTTTTGTCCTGTTTTACTTTTCCCGATATAAATTGTAATTTGTCGTGATTTAAGATAACACAGAAAAAGTTTGTTTCCTTATCAGATAGTGATCTTCAGGGCATCTGTATGTATGTGTGTGGGTGTGTGTGTGCGTGTGTGTGTGCGTATATTTGTAATAAACCTTTTATTATAAAGCATTTATAATTCTGTACTTATTGCATCACCCCACTACTCTAACGTATCCTGGATGTTTGTCTACTGCCTTTATTGTACTCTCTTGTAATAGAACATGCCGAACGTAATGTGCTTCTTAACCTTTTCTTTCGATCCCCTACGCCAGTTTCATGTGAAATTGAGCCACTCTCACTATAGCAGCATGAGAGAACCTGCTATACTTGTCAGACTCTCATTACCTGTCAGGCATTGTTGGACACTGGGTAGTTTAACACTGCATTTTTTTTTTTTTTTTAGATACACATCCACTTTACACCATTCAGACGACAACTGCATTCTAACGTTAACTTTTTAATATGGAAGCAAATAAATAAATTGCAAGTTTAAAGTCAGTTAATTGTCTGGTAAGGGAGAACATCACCTATACATAACACTGCTCCTACCTAATCTTACTAATATGCAAGTATGTTCCATCGAAGTCCCTACGCTCTGCTGAAGACCTGCGTCTCTACGTTGTTCGTACTCCCGCCTCTGATGCTCACCTCCAAGACTTCTCTATGGCTGTGCCATTCCTATGGAACTCCCGTACATGAACTACGTCCTCTTCTAACCTTACCTCTTGTGTCACTTTTTTCCTCTTCCTTTAGAATGTAAGCGTGTTTGAGCAGGGTCTTCAGCATCCTCTATTCCTGTGCGTCAAAATGGTCTTGTTGCAAGTACTTGTCTGTTGGTCCATCTATTGTACAGGATTTCTAAATTTAGACCATACAAGACAATTAAAGAAAAACCAGATTAAGGTTGAAAAGGCAAACATACCAAATGTTCTAAATTGAGCAAGATGGCCCCCAATTTGGACCCCTGTCTAGCTGACCTGATTAATGCTCAAATACATTTTAGTTTGAGACCAGTTCTTCTCATGTTTGTGTGCCTCCACAAAGTTCTGCCCATGAGAATTGATGATGAGGAGCATCTTGACTTGGGTCCATTCTTGCTACAGCACATCACTGTTGTTATGCATTCTCACTTGCACATCTTCCTCCATCTCCACCTCTCACCCATCTTAAATAAATACCTCCAAATCTTATGGGAAGAAACCTGACTGTTATTGGGATCTAAAATAAATTGCTTATATTAGTGTTAAATTGTGTTTACTTATAAGCTTACATTGGTAGCTATGGCATGATATTGGTACTAAACATTTGTCCAACATGGGTGAAATGTTGTATTCCTTGATAAGTGCACTTGTATGGTCACTCTTAATAATATGAATGAAGAAGTATCTGTCTTCTGCCCAAATACAACATTCTCAGCCTCCAAATAGATACAGGCCTCACAAACCACTCCAATTTTGGCTGGGCAGTCCAGATTTTCTGGTCCTGTACCATCATCCTGACTTAGTTCCTCTGTGTTTTGCTTTTGGGCACATCAAGGAACTGTCCCCGACAAGCATTGCATGAGCGCATTATTAGACGCGTTCATGCTATTCTTAGGGCACTCAGTAGACTGGCCTTACATGATTGGCAGGCAGCCTTGTGTGCATTCACGCTAGACTGAGCTGCCAGTAAATAAGGTGGATCTGCCTACTTTAGGTGGAGCCAGTGATGTGATCGCATGACTGGCATTTCCCCTTTTAACCTCCTCCCACCAGTGTCCCACTTCTCAGGATGTAGATAGATAATTTTGGGGGGCAAAAGACCATATACACAGACCTAAACAGAAGCTAGAGAGGGTCCTGCTTTGAATAAAACATACTTATCTAGATAGCCTGTGAGCTTACACTCTAAAGGGATAGATAGATAGATAGAATGTGAACGTCAGAATTGAATGCTGTAAATATCAGCATGTTGTAACGTTTTTTAGCATAGCACACATGCAAACATGTTTTAACCTTGCTAAATAAAATATCACCCAGCTTTAGAGTCATGTCAGGTAGATTTGTAGAGTAAATTCCAAAGGAATGACCTAAACTCAAAGGGATTTGCTCTGATGGAGATGGTGTTCGTTGCTTCCAAATCCTTTGGGAGGAACATTTGTTGATCACAGCCAGATATTCCACATGCAGGTTTCCTGGAAGCTTCCAGTAAAATAATTCCATTTTCCTTTGAAAGTCAGGTGCCTTCCATGTGGTGTGTACCAAGGCATCGTGGAGCTCATTAAATCGCAGATGGGGAATGGTCTCCTTAGCGTGAGGAATCTGCTGCAGCACAAAATGAATCACCCATTCATACAAAAATAATTATTTATATTCCCCCAGCCTGTCTACATAACTTGGCCAGAGCGAGGCCTTGAAGTCTAATTTGGAGTAAGATGCCTGCTTGTGTTTGCTGTGTGACCTGGAGCTTTGGCAGCTTATTATGCAGCAATGGACATGGGGAAAATAAAGTCATGTTCTGGTAATTTCTTCATTAAAGGGTTACACCAAGCACCTAGACCGTTTCAGTGATTTGAAGTGGTCATGGTGCATGGAGTGTGTATGTGCATTATTTGGCATTGAAACACTGCACATACGTTGTTTAACCCCTGTGCTTCCAGAGTTGTAACTCCACCTCCTCCGCGTCCTTGGAACCTCATTAGCTTTAGAACACAAGTTCCAGGCTGGCCAATGTCAATTCTGCATGTTCCTATGCATAGAATTATATGCATTGGCTCTCAGCCAATGATCAACTTCAGATCAACTTCCTGCTTTTGCAGATCTATCCCCAGTAAGACAGTCAGCCCCTGGCAGAGACCCAGGTAAGAGGGCAAACCATTGCAAAAAGGTTTGCTCCATTACTGGAAAATGGGGCGATGGTACTCCTAGCTTCATAGCCACTACAGCGGACCTAAGTAGTTATGCTTTTTGGGGTAAGCCTTTAAGAATCTCTGTACATTGTACAAGCCCACAAGAGCCCAATTATAGAGATCTATATTGTAGAGAGAGATGCGTACTTTATTGGGTACTGGGTCCAATGACAGTGAGGTGTATGTATACGTATATGAGTAACAGTAGGGAGCAGTTTTATAACTTAAATACAATACGAGACCTTAAATAAGATTTATGATGAGCTCTCTGGGGACCTATGACAAAGTGAGGCCACTTACCTGCCATCCTGTGCTTTTTTACAGTGGTTGTAAACCATTTCAAGGCTAATACGCTTGCACCACACTGTGCGTCTGCAGTAATTTTTCAGTTTGTCAAACCTTTCCATATATTTGAGAACCAGTGGCAGTAAAATTACTCTGAGCTACGATTCTGGGCTACTAGATTCTGCCTATAAATTTACCAGCCTCTTGGAAAAAAATCATATAACATTTCTGCTGTACGGAATTGAAACAAGCGCCCCGTTTAACTGCCAAATTACCCATTAAATTCAAGAGAACCCAGCAGAAATAGGTTTATATTGGCATCCAACTGTAGACAGATATTTCAATTGCATAGCTGGATGGTTAAATCTGCTGTACATAGGATTAGCATAAAATTAAAAAATTCTAGTTGTACATGTTGGAAAAAATAAATAGCTGTGGAAATTTAACTATAGTCCTTTAAAAAAAAAAAAATCTACAATTTAATTGTCTCTACACAATATCAATGGATTATTGTATCCTCGTTGTTAACTCCTCAAGTCAGCCCTAGTACACCTGTACTCAGGGGCTTTCAAAAATCCTTACCAAGAGCAAATCTGTGGGCATTACTTTCAGGGAAAGGACACTCTAAGCACCAAAACAAATTTACTTTAACAAAGTGGTGTTGGTGTGTAGGTCATGCCTCTGCTATCCCACTGCTCAATTATCTGCCATTTAGAAGTTAAACCACTTTGTTTATGTAGCCCTAGTCACGTCTCCTAGCTAAAACTCAGACATACCTACATGAAAAAAGGGTCTACATTTTTAGCTTCCCTTACTGCACAGTGTGTTTAATTAAGATTGCATCTCCTGCTCTGTAAACTGTCTGCTAAAGCGAACAGCAGCCTCTTGTGTATGATTAAAGTTTTATAACATACAAGGAGATAATGACTTCTAAATGAAACACACTGTGCTGTAAGATCTACATAAAAACTGTTTTTTTTTCCATGCAGTTTGTTTGAGTCACAGCCAGGACAGGTGTGGCCAGGATTGTAGAGGCATAATATATACACCAAAACTGCTTCATTAAGCTAATGTTAGTTTGGTGCTTAGAGTGTCCCTTAAAGGGTTACTCCAACCATCGTTACCTAACTTTTTTTTTTTTTTAACACAAATTCGCCTTATTAAACATTATTCTTAAACCCCCCAAATGCTAAAAAAAGTAATAAAAAAAGGTATAAGTCACCTAAAAATCTAGCGCTGTTCCGCACATTACCTAACGTCTGATGTCTTGGCAGCCATCACGATGTCAATCAAAGGCTATTAGAATGTTTAACCAGCTCAGAGCACATGTACTTGCTCTGAGCTGGCGAGGGGAGGGAAGAGGTTAGGGAGGGATCATAAAACAATCAATGGAGAGTATAGGGAGGACTGCAGTAAAGGTGGGAGGGGAGATACAAGCTTCAGAGAATATCTGTCAGCAGAGTGCAGTACACGCTGATGACAGTCGTAAATTTTGCACAGAATTGACAGTGGCAGTGCGGAATAGCGTTGCCATGGGTGCAACCAGCCTCGGGACAAAAGTGCAAATATCTATTGATTTGCAGTGTTTTAAGTAGAAATGCTGCACATTCAGACTCCTACCACCATCACCACTTCTAAAAGAAGAAGTGGTCATAGACGTTGGAGTAACCCTTTAACAAAACCATTGTAATGCCTTTCTATGGCAGGCTAATATATACAACGCTAAAACCATAAATATGGTACATGTAGCAGACCAGACTTGGCGCTGATGATGCGTGCAGATCATCCAACAAATTAATTTCCCACTTCCTGTGTTTTTATTAGTACATTTATCCCCATCGACAGCTGTGGTAACCAAGCCTTGCTTTGGGTTTCCTGTATATTTCAAATCCAATATAAATTTCTTACTAAACTCATGAACTTATACCTCAGTCAGATAGTTCTCAAATTAAAAACTAAATATGATCCGTAGACAAAACACTCAACATCCGTTCAGGTGTAAAGTGGATTTAAAAATATATATATTATAATCGTGCTGGCTTATTTTTTTTTCCCTTTAATTTAATGCCAGGAAAGTTTGCACTTTAGGATAAATTGTGTGTTTTTCACTAGAACCTTATCTCACAGTTAGTTGTATCTGCGATTTGTTGAAAGATGAAACAAAATTGTCAAGTAAATTTTTTTTTTGTTTTGGTGCCTCGAAATCCTTGGCATGGTTTTACCTTAAGGGATTAACCCCTTAAGGACACATGACATGTGTGACATGTCACGATTCCCTTTTTCCCCCACAAGTTTGGTCCTTAAGGGGTTAAAAAAGCGTTTAAGAACGATTTAACTTAAAAGTTAGGTAGACGGTGGACATCAGCTTGACTCTTTTTTTCGTCGATGTCCGAGGCTTCAATGAGGAAGCCTTGGACTGGATGCGAGTGATGCACTGATGTTCTAAGCCTATCACTAGCTCCCAATTCAGGAAACGGTAATATAAACTACTTTGAATTAAAATCATTATTAGTATTTATATAGCACCAACTTACTCTGCAACGCTTTACAATTGTAGAAAGGGGATATATTTAGAGGATAAAAGGCTTTGCTTAAATGAGCATACAGTCTGAGAACTTGAGGTAGGTATATATCGATAGATGTCTGGCCCAAGGGCACGTATTAGCAAGCTAAGCTGATATATAATATGCTGTATGTACAGGTGTAAAATATTGTTGTGTTTTACATCGCAGATTTAAAAGGACAGGGACTTTACCCTCAGACCACTTCATTGAGATGAAGTGCCTGGCTAACTTTAGTGTCCTTTTAAAGAGACACTCAAGGCACCAAAACCATTTTATTGGTGGAGATTGTGTCGAACACCACTAAAACCACTCAAAGCCTATCTCACTCCCCTGGCCATCTGTTCCTCCTCCCCTCCATAGGAGTCCAGCAGGCACCTATCTCTGGCTATTTGCAAACTATTACCCGCACTGGAGCGTACCGAACGAGTCAGCAGGACTTCTCTGAGTTCATCCTGGAACTCTGGCTCGGCCACACATATCACCTTGTCCCGGCTAACTTGATGCTTGGTTTTCACTCCTTTCTCAATACCCCTGGAGAGTACTCTTTGGAGGGGAGCTACCTATGAACAAGGGGAAACCCCCTTATACAACTGCCCAGAGGTATTTGGACCGACTGGGCGCTACACCGAGAGCTATCTGGGAATATAAATCTTGTGGGGGTTTATAACCATTTTCAGAGTGTTTCGGGTGTTTTTATGTATTTGGCTGTCTGTTTCTGTGAGATAATTAACCTATTGAGCTTTGACTCAATTATCTCCCTGACACAGAGATGCCTGGGCGGGATCACCAAGTAAGAGAATGGAGATCCCATACTGGGGGTCTGGGCATAAAAGGCTGCATTCTGAGCAATACAAAGAGATTAATCCCAGAACTATGTCTCATCTGGTTACTGGGGGAAACAGAGTTATATTCACACGGTTCCAGTCTGGCTGAGAGGAGAGCTTAGAGGAGCTAACCAGTCGGGTTACTGGTGGTCCACTACAGAGAGAAGCAATTTTCGCGCATGTGCCAATGAACAGCATCTTACTGAGCAAGCTATCACAACTGATGACTTCACCAGAGGCAGATTGTCTTTTGCAAGGAGCCGGTCACTTTTTTTTTTGTTTGTATGATGAAAGGTATCTTCTAAATTTGCTTTTTTTTTTTCTTTCTAAAATGATTCGTCCCCACACTGTTGTTGTGTGGTTTATCCCTTCCTGGTTGCTTTTATTTTGGCTAGATCTACTGTGTAATTTGACTGACAGCTGAGGTCAGCCAACAGCCACATTCTTGGGGGGGGTTCCAGCAAATCAGAAGCTGCGGAGAAAGATGTAACAAGGGAGTTGCAAATTTTAGACCGGATTAGCTAAAATAGAAATAAAAGCGTAATTTGTCATAATATAAAATGCAGCAAATTGGGTTCTTCGTTATTCTGGTTTTACTAAATGATTCTCTGGAAAAGGAAGGGGAGTTTCTCTTTACATAATCCTGTATCCTAATTTTTGCAAATTTGAATATTGATTTGGCAGTTCTAAGCTACCATTAATATGCCATATAAATTTATCACAAAGCTCTACTCTAGAATCCATGAAATCCCCGTGTGTTCTAAACTCAGCATGTCTGTGAAAGACAAATTATTGTGTTGTGGTATACCGTGCAGAAAGCAGCGAAACAGTGTATGAATACTTGTTTTGGGGGTATGAATTAATAACTGTGCTAAAAGTCAAATTAATCTTTGTGAATAACAATAATAGGAGCTTAGACCGACTGGGGAGATAGCTTTCTCAAGGATGGAATTGGAGTTATCATTAACCTCAGCCAAATGCAAGTGTAAAAGGACTTACCAAAAATACATCATTGACCTTTATTTTGATGTTACAGTCTTCCTCAAGAACCAGTAATGGGCTAGGTTTTATCAATAATGGAAATTAATAGGGTAATCCTTAAGTCTTGGACTATTGCTGGTCTTTGAAGATGTGTTTAAAATAATATCCTTTGCTTCTTCAATTCCTATCTCAACTGGGTCCATTAATGGATCCACTCAACTGGGTCCACTAATATCCTGCAAATGTTCATCTCCTTAAAGATTTTCTCCAAGCACTTTGGCTACTTCAGTGATTTGAAGTAGTTGTGGTGCCAAGAGTCTGTATGTGTAGTGTTTTGCGTTGAAGATTAACCCTCCGTTACTGGAGGTGTAGCTCCAACCCCAGCAGCATCATATGGGTGTCTTTAGTCAGCCCAACACAGAATGACAATCATTGGCTGAAAGCGGTCAGTTGAGGTTCTCAGCCAACGAATGTCAACTACCATGGATTCTGGCTTCTACAGCTCTGCAGAATCCAGAAGCGCATGACTGGATCACCAGAGAGCCCAACGGGGACCCAGGTAAGGGGACAAACTATTGGTAAATGGTTTGCCCCATTACAATGAAACTGGGCAAGGGTACTTCTGGTATCATAACCACTACAGAGGCTTTAGTGGTTAGGATGCTTGGAGTAACCCTTTAAGTTTCTTCAGTAACTCCTATATTACGTACAGAATGTTTGGTACTTTAATGGAGCTTTTAAAATACATATTACGCAAAAACAATAGTTTATGAGAACACTAAGAATGGACCACAGCTTAGGTAGCTTGACCTTCTGTGTATACCTTCAGGTATATTATAGAGATTTGTCGAAGTGAAGAATGTTGCTTCTATCAATTAAACTTATACATATCTCCTTTTCCTATTTCACAGATGTAGTTCCATTTCTGATCTTCAATTCAGAGTTGTCAGCATGCCTGGTGGCGAAAGAGTCTTCCGTTCACATGATTGGGCCATGTAATGTAAATTCCCCTGATCAGCAATGGCTATGGGTCTCCCGTCGTCGACTTTTCAACGTGGGCACACTGAAGTGTTTGTTGACTCCGTACCCCAGCAATAGCACTGAGTCTGCTCTCTCCGTCTTCCAGTGTGACCATGAGAACTTCTATTCTATTCGACGCTGTGAATCACAGCTGGAACAGCTCACCAATAGTATTAGGCTACAGATAAACAATGGCACAAGCTCGCTGCAGCCTCCGGCAAAGGTTGGCAGCCAATGGTCGGTTTATGGAACCAACAGGAGCATCTGCACTGAAGCCTTTTATGGTAGGAAGTTGCTGTGGAGTGGTGGTCTACACCTCAAATTAACCCATTTATGTTTATTTATTTATTTATTTTATTCAGCTACCACACAGATACACATTCCTAAAGAAAAAAATGTTTCTTTGGCATACCACCCCATTTCTTCTCAATTATTTCTACTTGTCTACTAACACTAGTCAAATTAAGTGCCCTCTATATGGAAGTTCAATGTGACACTGCTGGCCCTCTTTCTGAAAAAAATTGAACAAGTTATGTAATGCTATGTTGTACACATGTGCATTCTCGCATTGTTTTGAATTGTGATTCCATGTGTTAACTTCTCTGTGGACAGAGGACCATGTCCGCTCCTTTCCACAAATTTATATTGTTATCATTTACTGTTTCATCGTTGAATTTCATTACATGTCTTTTTGGACATACTTTCATTTGTCTTGTTACTTACTTCTCGTTCAACAGATATTTACACCATCCAAGGCAACTCGAATGGCCGTCCTTGTGCAATCCCATTTAAATACGACAACCAGTGGTTCTACAGCTGCACGAGCACTGGTAGAGAAGATGGACATCTCTGGTGTGCCACCACAGTGGACTACGGCAAAGATGAAAAGTGGGGCTTTTGCCCAGTAAAAAGTAAGGGAGATAATATTTCTGTTTAAGTGACTGGATTTTGGTAACAGTAGCATTCATATGAGCCCCGGTGTAATGTAAAAAGAACTGTACCGTAATTGGTTTTTTTTTCATTTTTTCTTTAGAAAAATAATAGCTTTCATTTTAGCTGTTTTCCGAAAATACATATTAAAACGCACTGTAAGAATACAGATGTTTTAAACAGCACAATTGAGATGTGTGTGGGAGATGTCACAGAGTAAAACAAACAGTAGTATAAATAGTGAGAATCATCTGAGTAAACAGAGCTAGGAGAATATGAGCCAGTGTCTGGGGGTTGGGACTACATCAAAGAAATTAACATTTTAGTTTTTTTTTTTTTCAGTTTTCTTTTTGAAAACAACTTCAAAATGTTTTCTTAAGGAAACTGGAAGCTTAATTTTTATTTAAAGTGATTTCTTTAAACATTTAATCGATTTGCCATTATTTTAAAATTCAGGGTTTTTTTTTTTTTGGTTTTTTTGGTTTGTTTTTTTTACATTTTCTTTTTTTTTTTTTAAATTCTTTTATTTTTGGCGTGTCGTTGCAATACATTCTGGTGGGAATAGCTGTATAGCATAGTACATACATGGCACAATCGAGTATAAGAATACATTGTGTAGTGCGGTTCGTACCTTATTGTCTACATTGTCACAAGCTGAAATGTACTGTTATGGATGACACTTTTTGACATTGTCGCATTATCACATTAAACCATTAACCAGTTAACTGCGCGGAGTTTTTTACATTTTCTTTGATGTTGGCATCAGTAACATTGGCAATTATAGAACTTAGCCTCCCATTGCCAAGTGCGAGGAATGGACCACATACACAAGGATGATTTTTCTAGCAAATCTGATTGATGAGAAGGTCAGACCCGATAGCCCCTTGGTTTTGGTAGGCTGTAGCGTGTCATATGACACTGCTCCGTGCTGCTTGTTTTGATAATCAAAGCTTTATTATTTTGTTTTAGATGATGACTGTGAGGCATTCTGGGACAAAGATCCGCTAACCCTCAGCTGTTACCAGTTCAATTTCCAGTCCGCTCTATCATGGAGTGAAGCTTGGACCAGCTGCCGGCAACAGGATGCGCACCTTCTCAGCGTCAATGAGATCTACGAGCAGACCTATATAAACGGTGATTGGGTGGAAGGCTCTGTGGCTTTCAATTAGTTTGTGATCATAAATACTATCCTGCAGATGCCTTGAGCTAATATTGTTGCATAAGCTTTTCAAATTATTTAATATTTATGGTTAAAAATCATTTTTTTTTTAAATATTAAAATCTCAAAAAATATATCATAAGGGGGTGGAGTGAGCACTGGAGCAGACAAGACATACCACAAGTGAGCTCCGGCTTACTTCCTTCGAAAAGTCTATTCTCATTGAAGTACCAGCCACTTTATCTATAAAATTCAAATTATCATGGAAAGGCATTCTAAGAAGCTGTAGCCCCAAGCAGCTGCGGGTTCCCATGATATTGAGGACTATCTGGCCCAATCAAGCTAAGTAGAGTACATTTTACAGGACTTTTGGCATGTCTGGATGGAGAGTGTGTTATTATGAGTCAGTAGTATCTGTTTCCAAAGTCAAAAATATGGAGAAGTTCAAACCTCAACAGATATTAACCCATGGTCCAGGATGCAAATAGAATAAAACGAATCTTGCTAACGCTTAGATAATTTAGAGGAAGTAGCTGCTGTGTTGAGCTGAAACTAATTTGAATTCGTCTTGACTTACAGTAACATTATAGTCACCCAGACCACTTGATCTAATTGAAGTGGTCTTAGTGCAGTGTTCCGGTCCTCTTAACCCTGCAATGTGAAAAGTCCACCTCTAGTGGCTGTCTTGTGACATAGAAGCTCTATAGGAAGGCATTGATTAATTGAATACGAGCACATTGGATTGACCCCTCCGTGACATCGCAGGTGAGGAGTACTAAGCAGCTGGGGGGAGGGGGCACCTTATATTACCCTAGACCAGTGGTAGTCAACCTATTTCTACCTACCGCCTACTAATGCATCTTTTTGGTTGAGTGCGGAATATTTTTTAGAAAGGAGGGTGTTTTTAAAAAAAGAAATGTACCTACATTTATCTTTTTATTTCTACTTAATGCATGTTTATAATGTTTTTAACTTAATAAAGTTTAATGAGAAAACAATAAAGTAAATTGAAATTACCTTTACTAGCGATTAAAGAGATCCTTGAGGTTGATGCTGCAAGACTAAATATTTGATATCTGGTTCGATTTTCGGAAGGAACAAACAAAGGTTTCTTTTGGTGATATTCAGACGACTTCACTATTTGCGCAATAATATGATTTCTCATCTGTGCATCAGCTCCCCTCCTCTCCCTCCTCAATTCCCCTCCCCACCTTTTTTAAAAAATGTTTAAACTTTCCTTACAGCAATGCCCAGTAGAAAGGCTGAGCTAGGTATCCCACTTACTATTACTTACTATAGCCCACTATAACAGACAGGCACACATACATACATACATACAGACAGACAGACACACACACATACATACAGACAGACAGGCACACACATACGTACAGACACACAGACAGGCACACATACAGACATACACACACACACACAAAAGACACATACATGCAAACAGACACATACAGACACAAACAGACATGCATACAGACACACACAGACATGCATACAGACACACATAAGACATACATACAAAGGCACATACACACAGACAGACACAAGACACACATACATAAGACACACATACATACAAAGACACATACACACAAAGACACATACAAAGACACACACATACATACATACAAAGACACATGCATAAGACACACATACACACACACACACATACAGACACACACATACAGACAGACACATACATACAGACAGACACACACACACACACAGACACACACATGCAGACAGACACACACACACACACACAAGACATACATACAAAGACACATACACAAACACACACAAAATATTTTAGTCACCCTCCTGTTTCCTACCTTTAAGGTGCAGGAGGGTGACTTTCCCTGGGGTCCAGTGGTGGCTCAGGTGGATGGGAGTCAGAGTTCCCACTCTAACTCCCTGGTCTTCCTCCCGTGCGGCTCTCAGTGTTAGCTGGGAGGAGTGACTTGCAGTCACTTCCTCCCAGCTCGAGGATGTAATCACAGGGGGCCCGGTCGCGCTGTTAAAGCGCCCAGCGCTGACCGGGCCCCCTTACAATACACATCCATCGGGTGGCCCTGACAGCATGGGCCACCCGCTGGAACCCTCCATATGCAGCCCCGGCGGTTTGCCGCGCGGGCCGGGGCTGCAAATGGTGATGGCGGTACCCGGTCGCAGGGGTACCGCCGGCTTGCATCCGCCCGCCCGGTCTCTCAAAATTAGAAAATCCCTACCGCCCACCTGGAATCCTGAAACGCCCACTAGTGGGCGGTAGAGACCAGGTTGACGACCCATGCCCTAGACAGACACACTATATCACTATAGTGTTGGGAATACAGATTTGTATTCCTAAAACTATAATACCCCTTTAAGAATCATGAGCTAAGACTAAATTGTTTTTGCTGTATCTACCCCTTGCTAGGATTTATGTTTAGATGTCTACCTGCTGATCATGAGCCTTTGCTTTCTGTATTGAGATCAATAAACTTTCGGTCGATACCGCTGGTCTAGATTTTGCAACTTTCCAGAGAAATTTCCCAACTAGTGTTTGGGGTGCATTACATCTGTTATTTGTCAAATTGTTTTGGAAGGAGATGACAATACAAATTTGGACACTTCCTGCACTCAGCACTCAGTCTGCCCAGCCCACGGAGGGCACCATGCAGGGAGCTCTCTGCAGGATCCTAGTGCATCTCCCAAATTTAAACGTAACCACATATGTCCCCATTATCAGGGGGCCGCCGTGACACACAAATTAAAACACTAAGTCTGGAATCCTGTGTTTTCAGCCCTGAGCAATTGGTGTGACAAGAACAGTTCCCGCAGTATCTTCAAACATAGGACAACGAAACAGGACCTGAAAAATCGGGACTGTCCCACCGAAATCGGGACAGTTGAGAGGCCTGAATTTCCCTTCTGCATTAACTGTACACATCTCTATGCATGGCAATGATAAGATGTGAATGCTGTGTCAGCAGAAAGTGTCTCCTTTCCCAATAATCACTACAATAAGCTAGTTATGGACTTCAGAGTGTCTCTTTGAAGGCACCTCTCACTATACTGTGAAATATTAAAGGAGCACTATAGGATCAGCAACACAAACATGTATTCCTGACCCTATAGGGTTAAAACCACCATCTAGGCCCCCTGCCTCCCTAAATATAGCAAAATCTTACTTGTATTCAAGTCTGGAGCTGCTGGCTTTGTCCCTGTTTCCTTTTGACCTACCCACTGCCTGCTGACATCAGCAGAAGTGGTGGTGTGAGCCAATCACAATGTTTCCCATAGGGTTGGCTGAGACTGATAAAGAGGCAGATCAGGGGCAGAGCCAGCACAATTCAAACACAGCCCTGGCCAATCTGCATCTCCTCATAGAGATGAATTGAATCAATGAATCACTATGAGGAAAGTTCAGTGTCTGCATGCAGTCAGAGGAGATACTGAATGTTTTGATGCATTTTAGGCAGCCATGACCCAGGAAGGATCTCTAACAGCTGAGGAGTGGCCAGTAAAGTTATCACTAGGCTGTAATGTAAACACTGCATTTTCTCTGAAAAGACAGTGTTTACAGCAAAAAGCCTGAAGGTAATGATTCTACTCACCAGAACAAATTCAATACGCTGTAGTTGTTCTGGTGGCTATAGTGTCCCTTTAAGTTTAACTGATTAGACTTTCTCTTTTATATAAATGGCAGTTTATATAAAGCTCTGTGGTTGAACCTATTTGGAATTCCTACTTATTCAGCTTTTTTTCATTCAACTTTAGAGAAAACCAATGGTATCATTGATATTAAGTGGATACTTCATTTACATGATCTTAGATCTCAAGAGGAAGTGGTGAGATGTCTAGCAGAACATGTACATTTCACCATCAACCCTTTACAATGGTTTCTCATGTAAGTGAATGAGAAGTCATACAATAGACATACATGTACAATAGACCTGCAGTTGGGCTCACTTAAAACAATCTTGACGGACCTAAAATGGAGCTGTCAGCTTCTAGCTGTTTCCTCATTCATTTAAGCTGGTTTGCTAAGAATGCACATGTGTAATGTCATACGTGCATTAATGTTCAGTTATTTCTTCAATACCAAGGGCCGGGAACGGGTAGAAAAACTCTGCATAGTAAAATAGAGGATAACCTAGAATTTCCTAATCTCAACCATTTCAAAGGTGTCATACATGTGTTATATTGCTGTATGTCTAATATGTATTTAAAAACAAAGCAATAATGTGTATATTGTACATCTTAGTTACTGTATATTATTTCATTCAACCCCATGAATGATTTCCATTTAGGACCATCTAAAGCCAGGGGCCTATATCATTTGTTTTATTGTTACTTTCAATCTACCACAGGCCTTCTGACTGGGTACAGCTCTACTCTGTGGATGGGACTCAATGACTTGGACACCAACGGAGGATGGCAGTGGTCAGACGGTTCACCATTAAAATTCTTGAACTGGGAGATTGGTAAGACCCACGTATTTACCGTAGTTTTTCTTTCCATGTCTCTGCATCTGTTGTTGGACCCAGCGTGGTCAGACATGATTCTTTTAGGCCAAACACAACATTTCATGTACAGCCTGTACAACCGAAATGGAGGTAATATACGAGCACATTGTGATAGTGTGTATAGCTGGCAATTAGATCCTAGACTGCATGATATGGAACTGAAACAGTCAGTGAGATTGCATATATATATATATGTGTGTGTGTGTGTGTAACGACTAAGCAGCTAACTAAATGTTGGTTCACCCCCTTGCTTGAGTTTGTAACCCTAACTATGAAGATGAGAGGGGTTTCAATGTTAATCTGTGGTATCTATTGGGTGGAAAGCAAGACATACGTGCCTCTTCTCTGGCGCTGTTTCCACCCCAATCCTTGTTAGTGAGAGAGGTTAAAGGGATACAATGTTATTCCACAGCTTCTTAAAGAAAAGGATGGCCAGAGAATGCGCAGGAATTGGCATTCTGATCCCCAGGTAACAACACTGCTTTCAGCCTTAATCTGCTGCTGGACCTCTGAGATGGTACAATATGGTAGTCAATGGATTTGTAAATACGTTCACATTTTGAATATAGCAGATTGACCCGACTTTATGTTTTTGTTTCTCAGTATTTCTATCCATCCACTGACTCTCTTCCTCTCCCTCCTCCCTATTTCAGAACATCCAAGTAACTCCAATGAAGAGAACTGTGCTGTGATTCGGACCGAATCCTCAGGGGCCTGGCAGAATCGGGACTGTAGCAATGCTTTACCCTACGTTTGTAAAAAGATCTCCGTATCAAACCGGGGCATTCCAGCCATAGGTGAGATGATAGATGTTTAAAGCTGAGTGCAAGCTTTGAATGGTGTCAAGTTATAATGACATGGGGCCGGCCAAGATTCGTAGCTGGGCGTAGAAGATGGTTAGCTGATTGCTAATGAGTTACTCCTCCTTAGCTTTGATTGTCTCTTCTGTCTCCTCCTTAGAGCCTGTGGAACCTGATGTGGTGATACAATGTCCCACTGGCTGGCAGAGTTATGGAACAAACTGTTATAGACTTAATATTGAGAAGAAGAGTTGGCAAGACGCAAGGAAGGCATGCGTCCGACTAGATGGAAACCTAGCCAGCATCCACACACTCCTGGAGCTAGAGTTTGTCACGAAACAAGTCAAACAAGGCAAGTCAACTAATCACACATGGTTCATATATAATCCACAAAGCTCAGTCAATCGCAAAGGGTTCATCAAACGTCCAGATACCGTGTCTAGAGGATGAACTGAACCTATGTTATTATTACTTCTTTTTATGGTGTATCTGTGTGTTATTTATGTGAGTACTTTACGGACCCATTTAGACCATTTAAAAGAGAAACATAAGTGCAGGTAATTAAAAAACATCTTATTCTGACAATAATATTCAGCATCGGACCTTTGTGAATAATGTTTTCAAGATTTGTCTTATCTTTAATATTGTGTATACATGCAGGAGATATACATTACATTAGAAAGAGAAGTAGTTCCAGCAAGGCCTGCTTGTGAAGGTTGTCTATAGGGGCATCGGCAGCGGGGGGCCTAACTAACTTTTACTAGCCCCGATCACCCTGTTTTGTGTTTAACCAGGGGCTCGAAGAAGAGGCTACATGTACTCACTGCACGTTCCTCACTGTTTGTTTGGCCACCTAGAAATGCCCATAGTTGTCTGGTTATTTTTCCTCTTTCATTAGAAGTAGAGGAACTGTGGATTGGGCTGAATGATCTCAAGCGTCAGATGAACTTTGAATGGACGGATGGAAGTGCTGTCACCTTCACATCTTGGCATCCCTTTGAACCAAACAACTTCCGTGACAGCATGGAGGACTGTGTGACCATCTGGGGACCGGTCAGTGTCAAGGGCTAAAGAATAGGGGGCATAAGATCAGACATGACACAATTGTTATATTTCCAACCTTACATTTCCATAAAGGCATTTTTCCAAAGCATTATTTCCTATTTGGTGTGCAATGGAATGCTGAGACCTAAGTGTGAAAATTCCAGAATCTAATTGACTGTTGGCAGCACAGTCTCTTATTTTTCCATATCAGTAACAGACTCTGAGCATTTAAATGCAATTTCAAGATGGCCGCCTCCACTCACTGTGTTACATTTATTATTGCAAACTCACAAGTAATATGTGCTTGTAATAATTGTTTAAAATGAAAAGTGGTAGGCCATAGTGTCATATATATCAGAATAATATGAAATTTGTTGTTTTTTTTTGTTTCTTTTTTCAATGTTTCTATTATTTAAAAAATCTTTAAAAAATAAAAGTGGCTATCTCCGTTGTAAGGTATTTATACCGAATAAAGTAGTGACATTAACTCAATCGAGTATTTTGTTCTCGTCTAAGAAATAAGATTATGTGTGAATGTATTTTCTAAGGAGAAAGGAAATGGCTTGATCTGTGAGATACCTCAGTTGGTTAAATGCACAGCCTTCAAACCCGTTCACACCTCAATGATGAACTTTCTGTTCCTGTCAGGGCTAGTTCAACTTTAGAGGGAGCGTGGTTTTAAAGCACTGCTTCAGAATCGGTCTCATACAGATGTTTTTTTTGCTATAATAATGTTATGCTAGATAACTCTGGAATATCTTCTCCGTATTTTGCTTCCCAGGAGGGGAAATGGAATGACAGCCCATGTAATCAGACCTTACCCTCCATCTGCAAGAAGCCTGGAATATACGTTCAGCCGAGCACGGAGGACAGTCACGGATGCCAGAAGGTATCGACTTACTGACACTGTACTTTTGATGTAGGTAGAGGACAGCTCCAATATGTCAATAGGGAAAACCTAGGCGTCTACCTAGGCTGCCAAGTTGCACGGGGCGCCTTTCTGTTCCTGGTCATATCAGAAACAAGGAATTACAATTGTTTTGAGGTCCTAGGCAAAGACCACCCCCTCTTATTTTTCTCCCCTCCTGTAGTTTTTCTCTTTGACTGTCTTTTCTTTTTTTTTCTCACCAGTTTCCTTTTTTACCAGTTGTCCATCTTCCCTTGATCTTCCTCTAGTTCCTTCGTTCCACTGTCTTTCTTGATTTTTCACTGTTTATTCTCTATCTCTCCCTATATCTTACTGCTTCCCCCAAATCTCATTTTCCTCTCTCTCTTTATCTCTCTCCAAAAAAAATTTCTCACTCCCTCACCCATCCCTCTTTCCGATACTCTTTCCATAAATCTTTTCTCTAAATTGTCATAAAGTTCCATTTCCCCCACTTCTCCTACATCTTTGTACCCCATGCCGTACACTCATTCTCTCTCGGAATGCTGTGTGTGAGCTCTACGTTTCTTAAAACATTGGGCCCTCAGCACCATGGACTCCGCACACTCTCTATATTACTCCATATAGCCCCTCTCTAAACATCCTCTCCTGGGATTTCTTTTGACCTCCAAGAATACGTGAGTGGTTTGTTATGGCAGTAGAAATAAAAGTCACAGAGGATGTGGTACCTTCTTCTGAAGGTTAGGAGCACCAATTACCATTTTCTTAACCTTAAAATATTTTTTTTAAATTACCAAAATTGTTGATTACTTTAATTTTGTAATTTTCCGCCATAATTTAAAATTATTTCATGTTAAAATTTGACCCCCCAAAAATAATATCTTCTCTAATGATGTTTTGGAAGCAGATTTAGCATTTTGTCAACAAATACAATGAGAACATTTTTAACAATATCTTTCAGAGGAAAGGCATATCTGCTAAAAAAAAATATTATAAAATGTCTATATTCTATGTAAAATATATAGGATCTGAGACATAATATTTATTTTTTATATATATGTTTATTTTCACATTGTTTCCGTCCAAGTAGCATACATTAAAAACAGATTTGCTGTATTACAATGAAAAATGATTATTATTATTTTTTTTAATACATATCATATCGATAGCTATAGTTTTATTTATGAATACACAAAATACTCAAATCACAAAGATAGACACAACACAACAACAAACTCTTTCATACTCATACTAAGTTTCCATACAACGAGACGATAATTTGGGGGAATCAGAATCAGGTGGGGGTGTTAAGCTTTTGTACTCAGATATCTAACCCAAGGGGCCCAAATTTCATCGTATTTCTCTTTGGATACTCTATCCAATACTATGCCTGCTTCCATCCTATGTTGAAAATCCACCTGTGTACATTTATCACACCAATTCAAAAGGCCCATGTTTCTCCAATTTCTGGCCATAACTATTTTACTTGCCATAAAGATATGAATCATAAGAATTTTAATTTTTAAATTAATCGTTGGCATATCTAAATGAAACAAAAACATTTGGGCAGTTATATAAATTTGTGCCTTAGTAATACAATTTACAAGCCCAGATAGAATTGATTTCATAGGGTTCAACTCCTCACAACCCCACCATATGTAGGGGGGGGGGGGAATGACCCTAATGCCCTACCACATCTCCAGCAATCTGGTAAAAGTGTAGATTGAAATTTGTGTAGACGAGTGGGTACCAAGTACCATCTGTAAACAAGTTTAAAGTAAACTTCCCGTATATTTACCCCATGTATGTACCTTTTTACTAAGTGTAGCCCTGATAACCACTCTTCGAGCGTAAAAGAAACGTGTAGTTCTTGCTCCCATTTAATCCATTCTCATGCCTTATGTATTTGCTTTTGATTTTTTATAAATTGGTTAAATCTAGAAGCAATTTTTTTCCTATAATGGAATGCTATAAATTGATCGATTGGGGAATTTTCTGAAAATTCTTTACCTAAAATAAATGATTTAACTCTTAAATAGTTAAATACTTCTTTAGAGGGAAGATTATATTTAAGCTGTAACATTGGAAATGCTAGAATTTGGTTTCCCTCTAGTAATTCCTCAAATTTTACAATTCCGCACTTTTCCCATTCTTGGATGTTTATATCTTTTACATAGAATTTTAGACATGCTAGTGGGGCATTTTTTGATATATATTTGGTGCCATATTTTTTCTTTAGATATTTTACTATATAGATCATTGTGTTATTCATCTGATTATTTGTTTTTATACTTTTTACAAATTCGCTATCGCACCATATAAGAAATAGAGGTTCGAGATTGCCACGGTCAGCTTTTTCAATATCTATCCAAGTTGGTCTTGAGGTTGTAAAGTTATCGCACATAATTAGATGTACTGTCATGTTAGTCATATAGAATTTTTGTACATCCGGAAAGGAAACTCCTCCCTCCCTCCATTCTCTCTGTAAAATTTCCAGTGATACTCTGGGTCGCCTATCCTGCCAAATATAGTCTGAAATCTGTCTTTGAAGACCACGTATCGTCTGGGAGTCCACCATCAGCGGGAGATTCCTAAATAGAAATGTCAGTTTGGGAAGTAAATAGGAGTTAACTGCCTCAATTCTTCCCATCCATGACAGTTCCATTCCCCTCCAGGTCTTAAGAGTACTCCTAAATTGGGTAGCTATAGCTGAGTAATTTAGTACTCCAATTTCCCTATATTCCAATGATAGAGTTACCCCTAGATATTTTATATTCCTAGCTCCCCAATCACACTTAAAATCCTCTTTAAACATTTTTTCCCCATGCCCATTTAGACCCTTAATCAAAATTTGTGTTTTCTTTATGTTAACTTTGTAGCCTGAAAGTTTACTATATTCCTTAATAAGGCAAAATACTGCTGGGATAGATCTAACAGGGTCCGTAAGAGACAGGAGAACATCATCTGCAAAGAGTGTGATTTTATTCTCCAGAGTATTTAAAACATTTAATTGACTACTAAATTTGGATATTGAAATTGAATTTATGCTTTTTTTTGAAGTACAAGTGAAATCCAAGAAATTAACAATTATTGCTTTTTTTTCAGGGGTGGAGCTGGCATAGCCCATCTTGCTATTGGCTAGGTGATGCACAAGTGACTTACAGTGAAGCAGTGAAATTATGCGCAGATCGCTCGGCTAGATTGGTGTCTGTGCAGGACAGGCAAGTCCCAATTGGTTATATGTTTGATGTGCGAGAGATTAGTAAATACTTGTTAATAAACATCTCCTTATAACTCATCCCATTACTCCATATACCCTCTCCCTATAACTCCTCCCATTACTCCATATAACCTCCCTATAACTCCTCCCATTACTCCATATAACCTCCCTATAACTCATCCTATTACTCCATATAACCTCTCCCTATAATTCCTCCTATTACTCCATATAACCTCTCCCTATAACTCCTCCTATTACTCCATATAACCTCCCCTATAACTCCTCCTATTACTCCATATAATGCTCTCTATAACTCCTTATATTACTCCATATAACCTCTCTATAACTCCTCCTATTACTCCATATAACCTCTCTCTATAACTCCTCCTATTACTCCATATAACCTCTCCCTATAACTCCTCCTATTACTCCATATAACGCTCTCTATAACTCCTTATATTACTCCATATAACCTCTCTCTATAACTCCTCCTATAACTCCATATAACCTCTCCCTATAACTCCTCCTATAACTCCATATAACCTCTCCCTATAACTCCTCCTATAACTCCATATAACCTCTCTCTATAACTCCTCCTATTACTCCATATAACCACTCTCTATAACTCCTCCTATTACTCCATATAACCTCTCTCTATAACTCCTCCTATTACTCCATATAACCTCTCCCTATTACTCCTCCTATTACTCCATATAACCTCTCCCTATAACTACTCCTATTACTCCATATAACCTCTCCCTACAACTACTCCTATTACTCCATATAACCTCTCTCTATAACTCCTCCTATTACTCCATATAACCTCTCTCTATAACTCCTCCCATTACTCCATATAACCTCTCCCTATAATTCCTCATATTACTCCATATAACCTCTCCCTATAACTCCTCCTATTACTCCATATAACCTCCCCTATAACTCCTCCTATTACTCCATATAACCTCTCCCTATAACTCCTCCTATTACTCCATATAACGCTCTCTATAACTCCTTATATTACTCCATATTACCTCTCCCTATAACTCCTCCTATAACTCCATATAACCTCTCTCTATAACTCCTCCTATTACTCCATATAACCACTCTCTATAACTCCTCCTATTACTCCATATAACCTCTCTCTATAACTCCTCCTATTACCCCATATAACCTCTCACTATAACTCCTCCCATTGCTCTCCCTATAACTCATTCTATTACTCCATATAACCTCTCTCTATAACTCCTCCTATTACTCCATATAACCTCTCTCTATAACTCCTCCCATTACTCTCTCTATAACTCATTCTATTACTCCATATAACTCATTCTATTACTCCATATAACCTCTCTCTATAACTCCTCCTATTACTCCATATAACCTCTCACTATAACTCCTCCCATTACTCTATAACTCCTCCTATTACTCCATATAACCTCTCTCTATAACTCCTCCTATTACTCCATATAACCTCTCCCTATAACTCCTCCCATTATTCCATATTACCTCTCCCTATAACTCATCCTATTACTCCATATAACCTCTCACTATAACTCCTCCTATTACTCCATATAACCTCTCTCTATAACTCCTCCTATTACTCCATATATACTCTCACTATAACTCCTCCTATTACTCCATATAACCTCTCACTATAACTCCTCCTATTACTCCATATAGCCTCTACCTATAACTCATCCTATTACTCCATATAACCTCTCTCTATAACTCCTCCTATTACTCCATATAACCTCTCATAACTCCTCCTTACTCTATAACTCCTCCTATTACTCCATATAACCTCTCCCTATAACTCCTCCTATTACTCCATATAACCTCTCCCTATAACTCCTCCTATTACTCCATATAACCTCTCTCTATAACTCCTCCTATTACTCCATATAACCTCTCCCTATAACTCCTCCTATTACTCCATATAGCCTCTCCCTATAACTCCTCCTATTACTCCATATAACCTCTCCCTATAACTCATCCTATTACTCCATATAACCTCTCTATATAACTCCTCCTATTACTCCATATAACCTCTCCCTATAACTCCTCCTATTACTCCATATAACCTCTCCCTATAACTCCTCCTATTACTCCATATAACCTCTCCCTATAACTCCTCCCATTATTCCATATTACCTCTCCCTATAACTCATCCTATTACTCCATATAACCTCTTCCTATAACTCATCCTATTACTCCATATAACCTCTCTCTATAGCTCCTCATTATAACTCCTCCTATTACTCCATATCCATATTGCTCTCCAATGTGTAACGTTTTAAATATTGCCAATGTGTTTGTATAATTACTGTATCTAATTATTTTATGCTAACATCACACTTTCACTCTACAACCTGTCCAGGTTTGAGCAGGCCTATGTTAACAGCCTTTTATATAGCTCGGATGAGAGCTTCTACTGGACTTCCCTGCAGGATATGAACAGGACTGGCGTATTCAGCTGGCTTTATGGCGATGAAGTAACATACACCCACTGGAACAGAAACCAGCCAGGTATGTCTCAAAACATCATTAAACCCAGGACTTAGAAGGAGCTATGTCTGCATGGTGTCTGCGCTGTGTCCTTAACAGAGTCTGCTGCTCTACCAAGAACACAACTACTTTATGAAAAACATTTGCTAAAATATATCCTTAATGCTACCAATTAGGTTGTTGTGACATCTAAATGATAATTAACTTTCTTTAAATTTCTGCAATAATAGTTTATTTTCCTATAAGTATTTTTTTTTTAAAGTTTATTCATTGCCAAGCTTTTGAATAACTCCTACAAGCAAAGAGCTCACACAGAACATCTGAGATATTCTTTGGTTGCACACCTACTGAATTCTTCACTACACTCTAATAATCCGTATTGTCCATCAAGTTTCACTTTAATCAGCAAACAGTTTTTTACTTAACTGCTGTTCCCATGGCAGGTTATGAACGAGGGGGCTGTGTTGCTCTGGCTACTGGCAAATCTCTTGGCCTTTGGGAAGTGAAAGACTGTTTGGAGTTCAGAGCAAAGTACATTTGCGAGCAGAGTTTGGCCCCACTAATTCCACTGATCCCTGCTATAAGGCCCACCCCAAGCTTCAATGGAAGCTGTCCCGATGGTTGGAGCACTTCTTCGAACCTGAGACACTGCTACAAGGTGAGACAGAGGTATGGGCAATGTTGGAGAAAACCAAGCAAAATATTTCTTAGTGTCTTTTGGACCATCATTTAGACCAATGTGTCTAAATATTTCTTCTGGACCAAGGCACACTTCAATTAGAGAACAGTTGCGAAGATACCTCTACCTTGTTTTCTTACTCTTCACCGGTTTCTTATAAACTCTCACATTTTGCTTCAGGCTTACTTGAGAGGTATGCATACTTCTGGGTAATTTGATTTGCTAGTTGTAATTGTCTGCCAGATTGGAATCTCAATCCTGATGAAAACACTTATTACAAAAAAAAAAGATACTTAAGGACCTGGGTCAGCCTATCAACCCAAAAGTCAATGTGTTCATTGGACACTTTAAAGAGTCTTGGTGAACACCTTTATGCCTTGGCACACAGGTTGAAAACCACTGCTTTAGAGTATATGTTTAGGATGTATAGAACCAGGTCCAGAGTTCCATCCTGTTGCCTCTAAAATGGAAAAATGAAAACATTCCAGACACAAGGAAGCATGGGGAGTGACTAAATGTTTTTTAGTTGAGATACAACTAAGCTTTGCATCTATCTTCTTCTATGGCATCGCTCCCACGCAAGTGTCTAGTCTGCCTTTCTTGAAATCTCACCCTGAACAAACCACGGTAGACCCTCCATTTGATGTGTTTGAAGTGAGCATGTCTTCCTCTCAGGTAGGTTCTGATCCCAGTTTTTTTATGTCCTTCACAGGTCTATCACTCAGAAAAACTGCAAGATAAAAAAACGTGGATATCAGCCCAGGTTTTGTGTCGCGAAATTGGAGCTCAGCTTTTGAGTATTTCCAGCACTGAAGAGGAGCATTTTGTGTCCCATATACTGAATAAAATTTTTGGGTAGCTACTTATTATTCTTGCCCACGTATTTTTCTCTTGGATATTGCCGAGAAGTTTCCAATTCACTTTCTCTTTTTGTCTGCCAGCGAATCAGATGCTGATGTTCACGAGCAGCACTGGTTCTGGATTGGACTAAACAGACGGAACCCTACTGGTGACCAGAGCTGGGTCTGGAGTGATGGACAAGGGGTAAATTAAATACTGTCCATGTGCTGTAGTTTCAATGGCAAAAGTTAAAAAAATAAAATAAAACTCAATAATATCTTATTCAGGAATTACACAAAGGTTGTGAGTATTTTGATTTGTGTTTGATTTTCACTCTTTAGTATTCCTACCACAACTTTGACCGCAGTAACCAAGATGATGATGACATAAGGAGGTGTGTAGTGCTGGACCTGTCATCCCTCCAGTGGGTAGCCCAAGAATGCGAGTCCCACATGGATTGGATCTGCAAACTTCCAAAAGGTGACAACTGCTTTTAGAAATTCCATTGTCACAAAATCAGAAGTTGATAACTTCACGTCTAGTCTTCAAATGGAAACAAGTATACGTACTGTTTCCAGTTCCACTCTTTGAAATACTGAATGGGCTATCCTTTTTGCAATAATTCTTACTTTCTTTAAGCCTTACCAATTAGACAACACAACCTGTACCATGAGCAGTTTAATTTCACCCTTTATTAAGTTTGATAATATATATCATTCCTTCAATTCGCAGGCACCGAAATAAAGGAACCCGAAGTAGCTAAAGGTATGTTTTATATCAATGTTCTGTTCATAAGGGACTTTCTGTTGAACGATTTTGTTACATGCCCATTGACTTGTCATATTTCCACCTCTGGAATTTGTTGCTCATCTTTCTTCTGAAGTTTAGGCTCAATCACAACCAATCTCTGGCATTTGGTTGGTTAACTTTCTCTATAGTGTGAGTGTTTTCAGTGTGATCACAATCCAAAAATTTCACAACTTTTTTTTGCTGGTAAAGTTGCCAAAATGAGAAATTATTAGTGACTTAAAACTGCGGGCTGTGCAGTATGAGAGAAGCTTACTTATTGGAAGCTATCCCTCGTAGCGATGTATCATCCAGCTGCAGGTGTTATGTGACTTGTAGTCCATGGTTCTTGCTGGAATCTTGGAAACACTTACGGTGTTCCAAATCACAGCACACGAGGCAGCTTGGGAAGTGTCAGCCCTGTGGGAAAAAGCAAGACAATGTGTCCTAAAAATGTTTTTTGGAAATATGTAGAAACCATCCCAGCATAATATGACTATTAAAAGGAACAATATTAAAAGCTGAAATCCAAATACACTGTATGGCTAAAGGTTATGGTTTATAAGCCGTATTATTAGCAAATGTGGTTATTTTAACCCAGCCATTGCTGAAAGGGGCATAACATTAAGCAGTCAGACATGTCACCTGTGTTTTGTGTAGGGGAATAGATCATGTAGTGAGTGTGTGTGTATAGGGGTGGGGCAACCTGTAGTGTGAGTCTGTGTAGGGGGATAGGGGCTGTAGTGTGAGTGTGTGTGTAGGGGGATAGGGGCTGTAGAGCGAGTGTGTCTAGTGGGATAGGGGCTGTAGTGTTGTGTGTGTGTGTAGGGGGCTAGGGGATGTAGTGTGAGTGTGTGTAGTGGGATAGGGGCTGTAGAGCGAATGTGTCTAGTGGGATAGGGGCTGTAGTGTGAGTGTGTGTGTAGGGGGATAGGGGCTGTAGTGTGAGTATGTCTAGTGGGATAGGGGCTGTAGTGTGAGTGTGTATAGGGGGCGAGGGGCTGTAGTGTAAGTGTGTGTAGGGGGATAGGGGCTGTAGAGCGAGTGTGTCTAGTGGGATAGTTGCTGTAGTGGGAGTGTGTCTAGTGGGATAGTTGCTGTAGTGTAAGTGTGTGTAGGGGGATAGGGGCTGTAGTGTGAGTGTGTGGGGGGTAATAGGGGCTGTAGTGTGAGTGTGTCTAGTGGTATAGGGGCTGTAGTGTGAATGAGTGCAGGGGAATAGGGGCTGTAGTGTGAGTGTGTGTAGGAGGAGGGGTTGCAGTGTCAGTGTGTGTAGGGGCTGTAGTTCAAGTGTGTAGGGGGCTAGGGCTGTAGAGTGTGTCTAGTGGGATAGGGGCTGTAGTGTGAGAGTGGGTAGGGGGATAGGGGCTGTAGTGTGAGTGTGTGCAGGGGAATAAGGGCTGCAGTGTAAGTGTGTGTGTAGGGGGATAGGGGCTATAGTGTGTGAATGTGTAGGGGGATAGGGGCTCTAAAGCGAATGTGTCTAGTGGGATAGGGGCTGTAGTGTGAGTGTGTGTAGGGGGATAGGGGCTGTAGTGTGAGTGTGTGTAGGGGGAGGGGCTGCAGTGTGAGTGTGTGTAGTGGATAGGGGCTGTAGTATGTATAGGGGATAGGAGCTGTTGTGCGTGTGTGTGTAGGCACTATAGCATGTGTACGTGTCTGGATAGGGTCTGTAGTGTGTGTGGGGAGAGGTGACAGGGGGTTTAACTTGCATGGCACATGTGAATAGGTTCTGTTGTTATATGTGGGGTTGGGGGTACAAGGGCTGTAGTGTGCATTTGTGTGTGTACCGGCAGATTGGGTAATGTAGCTGTTACAGTTTCATTTGAGGGATCAATTTCATATTAATATATTTGGCTATGCAATAAGATGTTTGAAGTATAAGTATCCAGACACCTTTGGCTAAATAGTGTAGAATATCAATCTACATTATATCTCAGTGGCAATATGTTGTGTTACAAGTTAAAGAAGGACACCTCTATGTTTCTTTTACAGCCTTGGTTTATGGGACACACAGATTTGCAAAATTCCTTGTAGTCTTATTAAATTAATTACAAAGCCCATTACAATAATAAATGCAAAAACAATCTATTAAATATAAAAGAAGTTAATAAAGGTGCCCACATTTGACGTTCTTGCATTTGTTGTAAATACACTGACTTTGCAACCTTCAGCAAAGCTAGTGCAGAATTCTAAATGCACTAATCACTATAAAAATCGTCAGAATTTTCTTCTAAATGCTCCACATTAACTTATTTACCTCAGGCGTATTCTTTGCACGTACCCAACAAAATGTCTGTGAACTCCTCTCAAACTGTCCTACCTCTGATGACTTCCTGTTGTCCTTTCTCCACAGGTAGCTCTGAGTGGGTAAATTATGAAAACTCAGAATACAAATTTTTCGAGCACCGCTCAACATGGATGCAGGCTCAGCGGATCTGCACTTGGTTCCAAGCTGAACTGGTGTCCATCCATGACCAGGCAGAGTTGGACTTCCTTGGGAAGAATCTACAGAAGGTATGAGATTGCACAAAAATGTGATCTTGTGTGAGACCTTCTCTGTGTGTTTTGGGAGAATCAGAATCCCTAAAGAACATTTTGTTTGTGAGATATGAAGATATTCCAGTGGAGACAAAGTTTTATATGACTTCCTTATTTTCACTGGGAGAATGAAGACCTATAAGTACATGAAAGTGTGAGGCTTGCTTTTGTCATTGGAAACCATGGAGTCTTAGCATTTGATAAATAGTTTTCAGACATTTCAAAGTATATAGGATGTCACTTAATTTCTGCAGTTTGTCCAGTAAGGAATAATAAGGAATAGTTACAAAGGTCTCCTTGTGTGAAATAAAAGGCACAATAAGAAGAGCTATCTCTGGACAATTTTTACATGGAAAAGGTTCAGAAAAAGAGTAGTGGAAGGGTAAGATAATGCAGGAGGCTGGTTTCCATCTGCGAATGCCAAATAGGTGGTTCTGGTCTCGGTCTCTGGTCTGTACAAAAGGTAGTTAAAGTATACGATTTTAGTGCGGTTCCCCCATTTTCTAAATTCCCATCTTCTCTCATGGGCTGAATTCTAACCCAGATTCTCCTTGTTTTGTAAGTTTGCCCGGGGACAAGAACAGCACTGGTGGATTGGGCTTCACACATATGAAAATGACGGGAGATTCAGGTAAATTTATCTTGGTGTGGTTAAAAATATATCCTGACTTTTTTTTTAAATGATTGTCCAGATGTGCGTAGTAAGAATGGTAAACTGCACAGGGACAATGGGACATTGCAAAGTGGTCAAGAGCAAGGGACTAAACAAAGCATTGGGAAAGAACAGGAAGAATAATTTAGAGAAACAAGTGGTAATAGCTATGCAGAGTCCAGAAGCTTTATACCAATGATGGCTAACCAATGATACTCTGGCTGTTCTAGACTATATTTACCATAGTTCTCAGTCATTCAGATGAGAAACGTAGCCCAAAACACCTTCCAAGAGGACAATTCTCCTGTTCTCTTCTTTGACATTATTTGCATTAACCGAGTGTTGGTCGTTCTACCTCTGGCAATTACAGTTCATTAGACTTTGCAGGCCAATGTTTATCAAGATGAAAAAAAAAGAAATCCACAAATTTGTGTATCTTTTTAATTGATCATCTCTATTCCATGTTCCAAGTGTGCTTTCAATTTTCATTTTTGTTACCTTACACTGTTTTTAAAAATCTATGCAATTTTGGACTGGTTACCTTGTGCCGTGCCAGATGTTTTGGTAGTAGAAGGCATTTGGTGGGATTAAGGGATTTTATGCAGGTGCAGGGGTTGTTGGGGCAGCATAAAGGAAGGAGGTTGTTAGACCTGCTGATCTATTTCTTTTACAGATGGTCAGATAGCTCGGTGCTCAGTTTTGTGCACTGGGCACATGGCCGGCCTGGACGCCTGACCAGGGAAAAAAAATGTGTCTATATGACGACTACTCGAGGTGAGGACTGCTGTGCCTTGCAAGTAAAGGTCCTCTGCTTCTGTTATTTGCTCTGTTGTGACACATTTAGACTCTTAAATCCACACTCCTAACCAACAGCAAGTTTCTGGCTATTGATGGCAATGGATTCATGGAGGGGTCACACAGCCCTATTAAACTCTAATGGTGCATTGTTTTTAATAAAATAATATGAAACATTTGGAGGACACAGGATACGCGGCTCTATGCACTGGCTATAACACCCCTGCTTATCTGAATGGTTGTCACTCTGCTGATTGCTTGTGTGCTTTGCTCTGCTTCCTACATTGTATGTGTTGCTCTGCCACGTTGTTTATGCGCACTGCTTTGCCTTATATACACATATTGCTCTTTTTCCCTCCCTAGAGGATTGGGGTGACCAAAAGTGCATCACTGCTCTGCCATACATCTGCAAACGCAGCAACGTCACATATCCACGCCCCACGCTACCTCCTCTGATAAACTCAGTGGGTGGGTGTCCTCAGGGTTGGCTGCCATTCCTTAACAAGGTAAGTGTGCAAGAGAAGGGACTAAGTTCCCTTTTAACTAGGACCACTTAAACCCCAGACTCAGATGCTTGAGACACATCCACTAAGCTAACTCACTCTTAGTCAGTGATGTTCTGAAAGAGATAGTATAGGGTGAGGATGATGTAACACTGGACTTTGAAACTACATACATTTGAAATGATTAAAAATGGAAATAGATTGATCCACAGGTGCTCGTCATGTATAACCATGCATATTGGACATTTGACTCTTTAACTCTCCGAGGTACACCACCTGGTCACCCGGTGTTACTAGGCATCAGTGATGGACAGTTTTATTGTGTAATCTGCCCAATACATGATTGATGAACAATGTGTTATCTTTGTGCAGTGCTTTGGAGTGAAAGCATATTTCAAATCTGAACAAAAGACATGGCAACAAGCCAGGGACTCGTGCAAACTGCTTGGAGGAGAATTAGCCACCATCAGCAATTATATGGAACAAGGTACTTGTATCTATGAACATCTAGGTCTGTCGTTTAAAAAAAAAGTCTTTAGGGGCACCAGCACCAAAGATCGCCATCCGGTAGTCTTTAATGAATGCAATAGCAATGATTAATTTAGACTGTGACAATGTATTTCCTAGTATAGACTTCTGAAGCATCACACCTCCTGATGTGGGTGGAGGAGATCTGCTTACTGCAGTGAGGTTGGTCAAAGGCTGGCTAAGAACTAGAGATGCTGAGCGCAATTTAAGGGCATAAGTAATACTTCCTACCCAGGGATACCTATCTTTATCTAAGTGAGGGAGTTGGGTGAGCATCCTAGCATGGGACTGTCAATAGTCCCTAAATCCTAATATGGGTTAATATCAAGCCCTTCAACTATCTATGGATTTACATATAGCATAAACAAAGCGATCTATGCTTTATCATCTGAAAAATTGCATTAAAGGGATTCTCCACTGCCCAAATACAAAATATAAAAATCACTAATTCGTAAATATATCCCCAATGAAAGCATGCATGCATTTAATTATGCGTTTTATAATCATTGGAGGCATATCTAAAAACAAACTGTAAAAGCTGCAGATCTCTTGTCTGAAGCCTTTGCAAGCCCTCCCCTTCTAACCCCACCCAGACATTCTGCAGCTATCTCATCACAGACTTCCCAATGCGGCTCAATGAGAAGTCTTTCCAAGAAAGGTGCTCTGGGCAATTGCTGTCTATTGGGTTTATTTTTACTGAGCTAAACTACCAGGAAGTAACAGTACTGATTGTCTGATTGACAGCCAGGGGGGCGGAACAAGGTTAATTCATAAAGTGCCATTTTCTGTTGAAATTTGCAGTTTTTGTAAAATAAAAAAGAAGACCCTCGTAAAGCACTTCAGCAAGCTAAAGTGCTCTAGGTGTTTGGAGTGTCCCTTTAATCCTTTAAGAACCCCTTAGTGTATATCAGTCTGATGACACAAAGCTATCGATTCAAACTGTAATTACAGAAACACAGAGTAATCGAGCAATGTTTACATAATTTAAAATTCTACCCCAGAAACTGAATCTTTCACTATTCCACCATCCCAATCTAGTACCTAAAGATCTTACGCCTGTATGGAGTGTTTCAATTCTGGAATAGGATCCTCAAAAAGCGTATACTTATAATGGCGTAGACCAAACTCCGGCCCTCCGGATGTTACTGAACTACAACTCCCATGATTCTCAGCCTATCTATTTCACTCGTAGATCATGGGAGTTGTAGTTCAGCAACATCTGGAGGGCTGGAGTTTGGGGAAGCCTGTTGTAGACTGTCATTGGTCTAAGGCAGGGTTTCCCAATTAATTTTTCCCGTGGAACCCTTTGACATAGTGTGTCAACATCGTGGAAGTAAATTTTTTTTAAATGTGCCGGTGTTTGTATATCTGTGCTTGTATGTGCCAGTTGTATATCTGACACACAGATACACACACAGTGTGTGTGTGTGTGTGTATCTCTGTGTCAAGGTGTGTGTGTATTTGTATATGCCAGTGTGTATGAATCTGACACACAGATACACACACTGGTAGATAGTGGCACACAGATACATACACTGACAGATACACACACCTTGACACACAGTGTTTATCTGTATGTGGGTATGTATGTATCTATCTATCTGTGTGTCAAGGTGTGTATCTGTGTGTCAAGGTGTGTGTATCTGTGTTTGTATGTGCCAGTGTGTATGAATCTGACACACAGATACACACTGGCAGATAGTGGCACACAGATACACACACTGACACAGATACACACATCTTGGCACACAGTGTGTATCTGTGTGTGTGTACGTATGTATGTATCTGTGTGTCAAGGTGTGTGCGTCTGTTTCAAAGTCTGTGTATCTGTGTTTGTATGTGTCTGTGTATCAAGGTGTGTGTATCTGTGTTTGTATGTGCCAGTGTGTATGTATCTGACATACAGATACACACACTGGCAGATAGTGACACACAGATACACACACATTAATACACTGTGTGTATCTGTGTGTCAAGGTGTGTGTATCTGTGTTTGTATGTGCCAGTGTGTATGAATCCGATACACACACTGGCAGATAGTGGCACACAGATACATACACTGACAGATACACACACCTTGACACACAGTGTGTATCTGTATGTGGGTATGTATGTATCTATCTATCTATCTATCTATCTGTGTGTCAAGGTGTGTATCTGTGTGTCAAGGTGTGTGTATCTGTGTTTGTATGTGCCAGTGTGTATGAACTTGACACACAGATACACACTGGCAGATAGTGGCACACAGATACACACACTGACACAGATACACACACCTTGACACACAGTGTGTATCTGTGTGTGTGTGTACGTATGTATGTATCTGTGTGTCAAGGTGTGTGCGTCTGTTTCAAAGTCTGTGTATCTGTGTTTGCATGTGTCTGTGTATCAAGGTGTGTGTATCTGTGTTTGTATGTGCCAGTGTGTATGAATCTGACACACAGATACACACACTGGCAGATAGTGGCACACATATACACACTCCTTAACACACTGTGTGTCAAGGAGTATGTATCTGTGTTTGCATGTGCCGGTGTGTGTATATCTGTGTTTGTTTGCGCCAGTGTGTGTATCTCTGTGTCAGTATGTATATGTATCTGACACACAGATATACACACACACTGTCACACAGATACACACACATTGACTCACAAATACACACACACACGCACACTCAGATACAGACAGTGACATACACACACTTGCACCCACAGATACACACTGACACACTCAGATACACACACACAGGCACATACAAACACACTGATACATACTGGCACATACACAGACACACTTAGATGCACACAGTGACACATACACAAACCTTGACACAGATACACACACTGACACACAAAAAACTCTTTGACAGACACACACACTCTTTGACACACACATACACTCTCACTGACTTGCACACATACACTCTCACTGACAAACACACATACACTCTCACTGACAAACACACACTCTTTTACAGACAAACATACAAACACATATGCACTCTCATTGACAAGAGCATATACATTCTCACTGCCAATCACATACACTCACTGACAAGCACACATTCACTCTCACTGACAAACACACAAACACACACAAACGCCCTAACAGACACACATACAATTTTTTATTTATATGCCAGTGTGTATGAATCTGACACACAGATACATACACTGACAGATACACACACCTTGACACACAGTGTTTATCTGTATGTGGGTATGTATGTATCTACCTATCAGTAAGATACATTCTCACTGCCAATCACATACACTCACTGACAAGCACACATTCACTCTCACTGACAAACACACAAACACATACAAACGCCCTAACAGACACACACACAATTTTTTATTTATTTTTTTACCTTTTACTCCACCCAGCTCCCCTTCCCTTAGGACTGCTGGCATGGAGTCCCTGGGGTCCAGTGGGGCTGCTGGCATAAACTCCCTGTGGTCCAGTGGGGATGGCTGCAGCTTGGCAGGCGGCGAGGGACAGACAGGTGAGCAGTGGAGGCGGGCGGTGAGGGAGCTCTGATCTCTCTGCTCAGCTCCCTCGCACGCCTCCTAGTGATGCCAGAGCCGGAGTGACGTAATTTTCCGGCTCCGGCATCACTGCTGTGCGCGCGAGGGAGCTGAGCAGGGAGATCAGAGCTCACTGCTCCCTCGCTGCCCGCGGCCATTTTTCCCCCCCATTTTTCGGCGGAACATCAATTGGGAAACGCTGGTCTAAGGTGAATCACAGGAAAGTAGAGTCCACAGTTTCTAAAACAGATGATCAAATTATGTTTTGTGGGGCTGCATCTTTGTGGTTTTGCACGAAAGCATAATTTATTAACAATCACTATTAAAACAATGTATTTTATATCTCCTTGCATTAGTAGACCTATGTTATAGTGCGAATTAGTCATCTTTGAAGCATTCTCTGTGCTTGGGTTACAGTCACTTCCAAATATCCTATTGGCATTGAGGGGAGTTGGACCAGCACAGAAGGGGTTAATACAACCAAAATAGTATTTTATGAAAACCCTTTCAATTTGAAATTTACTTTAAATTCACTTTAACTTTAGTAAGTAACAGTGTTAGAATCTAACAATTCAGAGATACACTTGCTATAGTGCCCCGTTGGCCATATAAGTAACACCCCACCCCCTGCAAGGAGTAAAAAAGGTAGTTTATATTTACATACCTTTTTTCCATTGCTGCACCAGTCTACGCGGGGAAGCACTGTCTCCTTGACTGAGATCATCGAAAAGAAAGCATTGGGAGACTAGTGTGCATGCGCAGCATAGCACCACTCAACACCATTTCTAAGACCATTTGATAGAGATAGCAGAGTTTTACTGGGTCTGGGTGGACATTGACATCAGGTTGTCTGGGTGCCGATAGTGTCCTTTTAAAGTTATCATTGAAGCTTGAAAAGGAAGTTGAGGATTAATACAGGTAGAGAAAAAGAGGGATTAATGCTTTTGCTGTTAACGCATCTACCCACTCCATGTCTCCAGCTTTTATTACATCCATACTTCCTGACATAACTGTCGACCTTTGGATTGGTCTGCACAATGCCCGACAAAAGTTCCAGTGGGTGGAAGGACAGCCATTGAGTTATGTGAACTGGGCACCCGGAGAGCCATCCAGGGAGAGTGCTTCTAGCAGTAACGACAATCCGGTGAGTGACTGCCTAAATCTTGTAATAATTCCCATCAGTGAGCCTACTATGTAAGAAAGATACAATGTGATATCTCTTTATTGAGAAAAAACATTAAATTCCTAGCTTGGAAAACTGGTCTGTGTGATAATGTTTCCTTTTAGTTAATCAGGGGTAGACATTGTTCGACACTCCAGATGCTGTGGCTGGACCAGTGTATCTCAACCTTTTACGGAGGTAAAAGTACCCCGGGATTTCTAAACAAATTCCTAAGTACCCCTGCTTTGAGAAAGTAATTTCTATTGATTTAATTTCCAAACGAAACGTGTAGACATTGATATTTAAATTAAACAAGACTGATTAAAGGTAGCAAAGAATATTTTTAAAATAAGTATGGCATGAAGTGACTATTATTTATGTAAGGATGGATGCATGAACTATTAATCTGAAGGGTAAAAGTCACAAAATGAAAATATAATACAAACATAATAGTTACACACAGAGAACACAAACAGTTACACATAGAAGACACTGACACACACATTTACACACAAAGGACACAGATGCACACATTAACACACAGAGGAAACTGACACACACGCACTTACGCAAAAAGGACACATACACACATACACACTCACTGCAAGACACTCTCATTGATTTCAAACAAGAACAATAAAGTATACATACTATAATTATATAAAAAAGTATACACACTATAATTATATAAAAATTATATAAAAATCATATAAATCATTTGACACACACTGACAGACATATTTGCTGACACACACCTTTACTGACAGGCACACCCTCACTGATCTGACACTCCGTGATAAACAAACTCACTGATTTGACACACACTGACAGATACACACACACACACACTGACAGATACATACATATTCTTTCCCAGCCACTCACACATTATTATTTTTGTTATTTTTTATTTAAGCCCACTCAACCTCCGTACTTTTGGGAGAGATGGAATGGATCCATTTCCTGGGGTCCAGTAAGGATCATTTCCCTGGGGTATAGAGTGGTTTCTGTCATCTTCATGGTCTTCCTGGTTTGCTCTCTCGCACGCTGTTTAATGATGCTGGGGCCGGAGAGATGTCATAGATTATATCTTGCAGTTATGCCCAGCTACAGCCTCCCACCTAGACACTGTATTTGGGCAGAGAATGCTTCTGTCGCTATGGTAAGCGGGTGCCTACTCTTCCATAGCAAACCAAAGGTGGCCACATGGCCAGCTCATGGTGTACCCCTGCATTTGGGGTGTGCATCCCTAATGGGGTATGTGTTCCACAGGTTGAGAAACCAGGCTGGAGACTACATCTCCCATAATGCTCCCACAGCCATAATGTTGACAAAGCATCAGGGAAGATGTAGTCCACAACCTGGAGACCCGATTGTTGCCTACCCCTGTTCCAAGTCATACTTTAAAACATTGCCCTCAGTTTGATTCATTGCTTCCATTAGGTGGTTTGGTCCATACTTCACACGTAGTTCACACACAAATAGAAAGGGGAAAATATCCTGATAAAATGATTTATGTAAGTGCGATCCTGTGAGTCTGACATCAACAGTGACAAAGTGAATTGTACTTTATACTGACATTTACATCTCTGGCAGATTAGCTGTGCAGTCATCTGGCACGGAACACCATCTCAGTTCACCGGCCGTTGGGACGACCGGAGCTGTTTGGAGAAACAAGGGTACATCTGCCAAAACAGCAAAGGTATGTGGGGTGTGCGGAGGAAGAGATGTGTCAATCAGACAAACAGGAGTTTCTAGAGAAAAACGAAATGTAAACCTTAGACTAAAATAGTTAGGCTGTCACTATAGCCGACTTGAAGATTTCTTTCTAAATCAACCCTAAATTATGCAATTCCAGTTTTCAGTTCTCTAAGATTTGTAGTTTAGAATAAAGCTCAAAATGTAGTTTTGCTCGTTGCTATCTCCTCGAATTCACTCGGTAACTTGGATATGCCTTTGTTAAATAATATAGTTTTTATTTTGTTTTTTTAACTTTTAAGCCATACTTCTCCTTCCGCCTACTAATATTTGAACTATAAAATATTTTTCTTGCTACAGTACCACTTCTGAGTCCACCCTCTGAACAATTACCCCCACTACCTGGCACCAATTTGCAGTACAGAAACAGCACGTACCTGATCATGCAGAAGCCATTATCCTGGTTAGACGCTCGTTTGATGTGTGAGACCCGGAATGCCACCCTTACCAGTGTCCTAGACCCCACCCAGCAGGCATACCTGACCATGGCCATCAGTTTACAGAATACTCCTGTCTGGATTGGAATGTTCAACGAAGAAGTATGTGTACTCAACTGTTATTATCATCTTAACTTTTTAACTCTGAGTTTGATTAAACCCAGTTGTTCCCTCCATATTACAGGGTGGGCGAGCTTACTCTTGGCTGACAGAAGATGCAGTCTCCTACACCAACTGGAGGGACGGGGAGCCTCAGCATCTGAGCGGCTGTGTTTACATGGACTCAGAAGGGACATGGGGTACAGCGAGCTGTGACAGCAAACTACAAGGAGCCATTTGCAACTTTAACAGCAGTGAGTGAGCTCAAAGGCTAATTAAGATAGCTCCATGTGCTGATGAAGGCTGCGAGATTAACAGAGTTATTCATCATGAATGAGAATTGCTGGGAATTCAAGTGGGAATTTTGCATTTGAGGCCAAAGTTCAGCTACCTCCTGACAAGTATTCCCTTTAGAGAAAATCTTCATAAAAGATGATGACTTTGTTTACTCTGTGTCCTGATTCCCATTCCACCACAATGATTTGGTAGCGTTTAAGGTATCTGTGATTTCTGTAGAAACAGGCACTGCACGGTACAGGCCTAAGCCACTGTCCAATCAGTCATGGACAAAAGATGCCAGGAACTCGGGAAATACAGTATTTATAAGTTAGAATTGATTTACTTTGTATTCCTGGATATTGAATTACTTTCTCATGTTTGTGAAAATTTAAATAAAGAATATTTATTTTTAAATCAGTTAGAATGTATATTAACATAGGTTGTTTATTGAAATTAGCACAAAGAAGGGATATAAATCCAAACAAAAGAAAGGCGTGAAGACTGATCCAGTTTGAGTGTACTGGTGCAGGACTCAAAAGTGAGACTTTTCTAATCCTTATAAAAAAAAATCACGAAGAGGAAGAAAATGACAATCACAATAACACTTTGGACATGTTTTCTCTTTTCTTTTATTCACTAAAGTGAGAATTGTCAGAATTTAAAGTTTTAGACCAAAATAACCAAACTGGAAGCAAAGCTCACTTTTTTATGTATTTCTCTGATTCAGCTATTTTGGCCTTAAATTTTAAAGAAATTTCTAATTTGAATGAATTCCCACTCTTCAGTCTCTGATACTGTGTTTCTCCTCTTTCCCCAACCAGGTTCCATCAAAACACACAAGTGGAGTTTGAATGGCAGCTGTCCCAAGTCAGTTGCCGACTCCTCGTGGATTGCGTTCCGTGACTACTGTTACTCCTTTCACATGGAGGTCAGGGTGAGCCAGAAGGATGCTGCCAAGAGATGCCAGAAAGGTGAGAGACAGTAACTAAAGAATGTCCTTTAAGATGTGCATGTTGGTTTAGGTACAACGTTGCGCAGTACAATGGTGTTCCGTAAAATAACAGCTTCTAATATTATTAGCATGCAGGAGACGGGGCTAGGGTGGGATATTGTCATGTATCATCACATTTTGATTCATTTTGCCCCAAACACTTGGAAATCTCTCAAAAATCATGTCCAAAACTCCAATGTTCAAGCCTTGTGTAACTACGGCTTCTGGGTTCTTCAGCCAACATTTGGTTCGGAGTCACTGGTGGTGTAGAGCAGGCATAGGCAACTTTCGGCAATGCAAAAGTTTGTAGACTACACCTCCCTTGATGCGTTTGTAGTATTATGGGTGCAAGAGGATAACGGGAGATGTAATCCACGCCACCTGGAGCACCCATGGTGTATAGTAATATTAGCTGGAGAGCTTTTTGTTGGCTGCGGTAAAAGTCCTGGTAATGACATAGTAAACCACTTATATGCCATTGTCTTACAGTTGGTGGAGATGTTTTAACCATACAGGATGAGTCTGAGAACACATTTGTTTGGGAACATCTACAGACATACGAGAGCCAATCCAGAGGAGCGTGGCTGGGAATGTCCTTCAATGCCAAAGGTGAGAAATAACTCCTTTATCAGTAACTCCAGGACTGAAAAAAAGTTGGGGGGGGGGGGGAAACTTATCACCAGATTAAAGGTTAAATATTATTATACAAAAAATTTTTAGATCCAGCCTGATAATACGCAAGTTGTAGTTAATGAAACAAAGTACGATGTAAAATGCTAACTGTCTGGCTATCCATTCTATCTATTGGATGTGTTAGCTCTCTCTTGATTTACCCTTTTTGTCACCCAGGTGCATCTCTCTTATGGAATGATAACAGCCCGGTCAACTACTCCAACTGGGGGCAGCAAGATTCAGGTCCCAGCTTGCTGAGCCCCAATTCCTGCTACTGGATTCAGGGGAGCAACGGAGTGTGGAGCCTCGGCTCTTGTACAAATATCAGCATGGGAGTGATCTGCAAACTGTCAAGAGGTGGGCAGACCGACATTATCTATATTATTATATGCACTAGAATACTGGACGGCAGTTTATTAATGCATGACTGTCTTGAACATTTGCATAACGCTGACTTTTTCTGACCTTATTTTGTTCTAAGATGTTTGTAGCTATTTATTTAAACATATTACATGCTGGAAAAAAAAAGAAAGATTTTAAAGTTGAGCATGCAAACGAATATATAATCTTTGTCCAGTTTATACGTATTTTGCTGGTTGATTCTGGCAAAGAACTCTGGGGAAGGTATATATGGCGGGGGAAAAAATACTGAACTGTTTTATGATATATTTTCTTCAATGTTTCCACAGATCAAGAGACAGCGATGTCAAAATCTGGTAAGTAGACCTGTGATTTCCATATTACCCCTGTATATGGCCTGTGTGTATGAAATGTTCACTTTAAATTAAAAACTGACATGGTAATTAGCGAGCCCCAAACCCATCACTGCTATAGCAAGTGCCAAAGTGGGAGACATATTTGAGAGACATATTGAGCATTCAGCGATCTCTCTGAGCTTACATTTTCTCCATTGGCTCTTCGATCACCAATGTAGCAAAAGTTCAAGGAAAGAAGGAATGGTACCATCTGACTTACTAACCCCCGTGCCTTCACAGCGTGGCCACCAGTTGAGGGCTTGTAGTCCCATAGTTATGCCAATGCCTGGCTTAGAGAATCTAGTATACAGGCTGAGGGCTTCATAGATAGAAAACTGTGAAAACAAAAATAGATTTTTTTTTTTTTTTTAAACTGCAATCTGGCATGCAACATTGATAAGAGATGACGCACAATAAATTAGCCAATCAGGTCTAAAGAATCAGAGCCCATGAAGTGGTATCCCATTTCTGTTAGTGCACTCAATGACATGAAGGCGGCTAGATTTGTTTGTGATTTTTTTTTTTTCTGGTGTTAATAAAAAAGATGGCGTCGAAAACTGTGCAATTAATGAAACGGAAAGAAATTTTAGGAAATGATTTAGGTGTATAATGCACTGGTACATCTTTACATGTTATACAGTTTGGTTCTCCAAACTCTGGCCCTCCAGTTGTTGCCGTACTACAACTACCAGGATTCTCTGGCTGTCTATTTTCTTCAAAGAATCATGGGAGTTGTATCTGGAGGGCCAGAGTTTGGAGAAGCCTGTTCTAAAGGAACCATTAGAATCAAGGGATGCTCATAAACACAAGAGAAATCAAAGAAAATATCATGGCACAATGCATTTATAACAAACAAACCAATAAAATAACTGAAAAAAACACACTCACAAACATGTACACACATATAACGAATAATATTTGTAAAAAAGCCCCCCCAGATGTTGCTGAACTACAACTCCCATGATTCTCTGGCTATCTATGTAATTAAAAGAATCATGGGAGTTGTAGTTCAGCAACATCTGGGGGGCCGGAGTTTGAGGACCCCTGCTCCAGGGGCTATCATTCCTGTAAGTCTGCTTGCCTGGTGTAGATGTCTGCTGTTCTGGCTGTCTGGTGACTCCCTCTGTTGTGACTCCTTTTCGGGAGTGCTTAAGATAAATTATTTAGATTATTTCCTATTTTATTTTTCATTTTTCTTTTTTTTTTGGGTGTTTGCTGTATATTTAAACCTTTTTGGGAGTGGTGTTATGAGTGGTGGCATTCACCGTTGTTTGATTTTAATTTGTGTTCTTCAGTTTTGGTGTTTTGTCATTAAGTAACCACTCAGGACAGTTGTCCCAAAATTTGGATTTTCCCTCCAGAACTGGGATTGTTTAGAGGTATGGATCCATACACGTGGGAGATTCCCCCGTAAAGTATCACTAGACATATTGTCGAATGGGCCTTGGCCTTTTATGCCTTCATCAGGTTAGATGGGTGAGATTTTATTGGTCAACGTGAAAGATATTGGACTTTTTAAACACTAACATTTGTAAAAACACAAAATGTTTAAGAAATTATAATATTTTAAAATTCAACATCTATAATGATCTAAAAGTCTCAAAGTCAATAAAGTTTCAATATAAAGTTCCTTTTCTAGCATACTCTTCTTTGTCTTTTAATGACAGATTTCAGGTTTTCTATTGTAGATAGAAGATATAATGTTTTGAAGTTAGGAAGGGTCTGTCTTTGTTGAAGCTATTGCGCCATTATATTTTACACTATTCATACATTATTATTATGTTCTGCTTTCTCCTTTCCAGTTCTTCCAGACCACGCCACAGCAGTAGCGGTGGTGGTTCTGTCTACAATGGCCTTGTGTGTCCTGACTGCCATCATCATCTACCTTTACCGACGCAGGAAATTCGAAGCAGAGCGTGGAGCATTCGAGAGTGCCAGATACAGCCGCACCAACACTGGCCCCGGGGGATCAGCAGAAAAAAATATCCTGGTGTCAGATATGGAAATGAACGAGCAGCAAGAGTAGTAGAGACAGGGACACCGATAAAGAGGCACAATACAAAAAAATTGATGGGGAAGCACATGGGGGGAGGGTGAAGGTTGTGACTTTAAATGCCTCCAACAGAAGGATGACCCGAGTGGTCTGTTATGGCAGAGGGTGCAGGATGCCCCTTGACAAATATGAATTTTGTACCCATTCAGTGTTAAAAGGGGGCTTCAATGCATTGCTGCGCAATATGTTTCAAGTCCTTCCAACGCCCAAAGAGATTAAATAAGTGAAAGCCATCTCTTGTGGACTGCACCGATCCCAACCACCAACATTCCCATTATCTGTTAGAAACTACAGGATTGAACATTCACAGGAAGGATGCATTATCGGGCATAGCAGAGCTCAAGCTGTGTTCAGTTCCCTGAATAACCCCTTGTGGTCACACTCTCTTTTCTCTATGCCTGAGCAGTTGGGGGTTTAGATTAAGGGAAGGATAAGGAGGATTCTATGATCGGATTATCTACTAAACTCCCGTTTTATTGAGAAAAAGAATTGGCTTGGTTGACCAGTATATTTGCATCTTATCATAGCCCGTGTGTTCCCTTTCTCTCCCCACTGCTTCCTCCTGTAAGTGCCCCATCCAAAACCTCGTATCCTGTCTGTTCTCCGATTGCCACCTCCTTCTTCTCATTGCTAAATGTAATAACTATTTTTTCTACTCTTGTATCGATACTCTCAATTCTTCTCATATCTCCAGTCTTACATTCTCTTTATACTAAAGACCAAACCAGTCTATCCTGGAGAAAAATGAAGGACCAAAAAAAAAAAATCAAACTCCCTTGTGCATTGAACAAAGGACCAAAATATTTCCCTCTGGGTTTACCAGAGCCCTTTTAATCTTTCAGTGATATTACATTCTAGAAATACGACGCTCCGGAAAAGTGTGAAGTTCAGTTTGAGGGTTGCGTGCACCTTCTATTGTATCTACAATAGGTTTCTATGTATATTTTTTACTTGTCTGGAATTATCCTTTGAAATGATTTAGAGTTTGCTCAGATCTCCAGGTTGAAAACTCACATCTCCTTCAGGTCATAGATGGTCCCTCAAAAAAAAGAATCTCTTGCCTCTTTTGTACCTTGAATACAATACTCCAAGAGGCATGTTCTGGATCAATGGAGCAAATTGTCGAGGACTCAGTGATGGCACTCTGTGTGCTAACTTCAGGGGAGTTGGGAATAAGCACTATGTATTTATGTCTGTATGTCTATGTTGGGCATATAGGTATATTGAAAAGGCAATAAACGCGAAAGCAATCACACACGAACCTTTATTTCTGATCTGTATGAAAACTGTTGGGTATTGTCATACAAGAGTTAAAGGGAAAGCAACAGCTCAGATTATGTTATATATAGATCACCTTAAATCACAACTTCTGTGTTGTAGGTAAAAATATGTGTTTATTTACTAAACTAGACCATGAATTGTAGTGAGATGAAAATGCAATTGCAAAATTGATGCCAAAATAACAGATTTGGAACATTTCTGCAACTCCGCTATGGTCTTTGCAATTAATTTTCCAGTTGGCCTCTGCTGTTTGCTGCATGAAAACTACACAGCACAACGGGGCTTATTCACCAAAGTAATATATTGGGTATTTGTGACATTTTTTATGACATCAATGGTACTGTGTTAAGTCAAGTGATAGTGACTGCTTGGGTTATGGTACACTACTGACATCCCTGTCAGTTTATTTTGCATATGAGAAAGGAAAAGACACTTGTTAATTTTTAGGAAATTAAGCCTTCACCTCTTTCTTTATTACCATTATCATCCACATTTATATGGCACCAGCATATGCCGTAGTGCATCACAATTATAGAAAGGGGATATTTGAGAGTTAAATAAGGTCCTGCTCCAGCAAGCTTACAATCCATGAGGATTTGAGGTAGGTGAATATATGATGTTAGGTGTCTACCCTGGGGACACTTACAGGGACTTACCTTCTGGCTCCATTCTCTTCCTTTTCTTACGTCCTTCTTGGTCCCATTGTTCTCCTGTGACCTACGAGTCCCTGCCTCTCTTATATAGTCTGCCATCCCTTTGATTCTTTTCCTATGTCCCTTTGCAAAATCTCACACACACTTACAACATAGGTTTCACACATACAAACACCTACTTATCCATGCACATAAATGGCCAGAGTTCTCTTTACACCCACACACACAACATATAGAATGTTATAATTGTTAAGGACGTATCATTCCATCACTTGATATGTGTTATGTGACAGTTTTTTTCACGTCATGTTATTGCTATCCCCATTTCACCCCTGTGTGTCATTTAATTACAGTAACTCGTTATGAATCGTCCCCAATGCCATATTTCACCAGTCACTGGTGGTATTCAATCACCAGGCCATATTTCATCTTCCACTTCTCCCTAGCCCTTTAGGTTACCCAACATGGTACTCTGAGTTTCTGTGAAAAGAGACGGGATAATATCTATTATTCTAGAAATTGAAACAGAACACATCTGAGTGCGGGAATGTGATGTACACAAATTCTTATCTGCAAAGGACCAATGAAAAATCTACACTCTAAAACCCATTGGCTCTCATTATAAGCCAGAAACCAGTGGTGGATTTGATCTATCCAATAATATCCTAATAAAAGCCTTAAATTGTCCCCAGCAGGAAGTCCTGCAATCTTTTGAGTGCTGTAGAACCTTTATCCCTCTGATAACCCTACATCCCCAATATAAATATACCCCCTGGACTTCCTCTGGTTTGTGAGAATCTGATACATTTTCTTTTCATCTGATGAAAATAATTGTCCTTGATGTCATTAAAAATTTAGTTAATTAAAAAAACTGTTGTTAACCCAGGCACCTAAATGACCTTTCTTCAGAAATGGAGAGATCGATATTGCACAGTGAAAGTTTACATTAAAACCGTCTCTGCATCGTATTATTTTTTTAAAGACATTTTCTATTAATAAATTTCCACATACGACACACTGTCTGTTGTATAGATGTCTTTTCATTCCTCAAATTTTCTGGACCTCAGCTTTCTCGATTGATAACTGATTTGGGATCCCTAAAAATTAAGCTGATCTAAGTGTTGAAAGTAATATTATGTGATATTTAGTGACGTTATTCTAAACAAATTCTGGATAGAGGTATTGATGGTCGTATGTTGCTCACTCAAGGTACTCGTGTGCCCATAAGGTGTCTAGCTAGGGCCTGTTACTTAGACTGGGCCCATTTAATTTATCGCATCAGACTGAGAGAACTGGGCCACCTCTATTATGTTAAGATGGTCATAAGGTCAGAGATTAATATACGCCTCACGAGACTGTCCCAGAATATACAGTGCTCACACTTTTCCCTTTGGCCCAGCACTTACTAAATACATCATAGTGCAGGCAAAGATACGGTATAATAACGAGCCTGGCACTCTCAATTCAGCCACTCAGAATCAGAGGAAGCAGTGAGACAATAGAATGGTCTCTAACCATAGAATATGCAACGTTTTTGTTTGAATGAGAGGTCGGAGACACGCATAACCAAGGCAAAAGTAAATTGAGAGATGGTACAGGGAGGTCCAAGCAAGCAACTGCCTAGGCCCTAGTGGCAGTGGGATCCAGCTCTGCTTGTGTCTTACTTAGACATTGCCAAGATATTTAATTCTATTCCAAAACGTATTGACTATAGTGTACATGAGTAATAACAGCCAGGGATTGCTGCAACATAGATTAAAGGGACACTATAGTCACCAAAACAATTTTAGCCTAATGAAACCGTTTTTGCATATAGATCATGCCCCTGCTGTCTCACTGCTCATTTCTCTGCCATTTAGGAGTTAAATCACTTTATTTATGCACCCTAGTCATACCTCCCTGCATGTGACTTGCACAGCCTTCCTAAACACTTCCTGTAAAGAGTAATTTAATGTTTATACTTCCTTTATTGCAAATTCTGTATAATTTAGAATTTCTTATCTCTTGCACTGTTAATAGCTTGCAGGACCCTGCAGGAGCCTCCTGTGTGTGATTAAAGTTTTAAATTTTGAGCACAGGACATAAAAACTTTGTAAAGTAGGTCACATGTGACTGAAAGTGAAACCACTCACAGCCGGGGGAGATGTGGCCAAGGCTGCATGTACAGAAACAAAAGTGATTTAACTCTTAAATGGCAGTAAATTGAGTAGTGAAACTTCATATGCATGATCTATAGATCAAAACTGCTTAATTAAGCTAAAGTTGTTTTGGTGACTATGTTGTCACTTTAAGCTTTACAAGGCCAAGATGTCTTCTAGTTTTGCTACTCCACCAGGGATGTGTCACTTAACAACACAGGGCAGATAGCTAGGCAGCTGAAGTGATCCGATGAGAGAATTTTATTTATTTTTAATTTTTTTCTAAAGAAAATAGTTATGAGTAGATACAAAAAAATAAATAAAGAGGAAGTTGGGAAGAGAGGTAGAATTGCTGGAGATTGTGAAAGTATTCTGGACTTCCCCAAAACTCTTGAGGTCCCTTCCAAAGTTCTAAAAGAAGATTCCAAACAAAAAACAATAACTGATTAAAAAACATAAATCTTAATGTCTTCAGAATACCTTTTTCTAAAACCTAGTTGGTGTGATTTGGGGGTCAGCCTTGACATTACTGTTAGGGTTTGCAGAAAATTTTTAAAATCTCTTGGTTCTTTGGAAAATCATTGACATGTATCTCTGTTCTTGTGGGCTGGGTACGAGCACAACTGGAGGTGGACGAGAGAAGGGGTCAAGCAAGCAGAAAATTAAACCAGACAGAGGATTTGTATTTAATGTAAATCTCTCTCTTGATGGCTGCTGGGACTACAGGCAGCTTCAGTCACTAGCCTCGTGCAGCAAGAGTTACAAACTAGCTACAGGCAGAAGCAGTAAGGTGAAGAAGGGTCCATAAAGTCAGCATACTCAATATAAGTAGACATTCTTTTCGAGGCAAAGGAAATCCAACACCATATCGGACAAATACAATAGATATGAACACTGAATA